CAGCCAGGCAGATAATCCCGAGCGAAACCCCATACCCAGTCGGATATTGAGGGCCTTCTCTATCGAGAAAGATGTTTGTTCCAATGAGGCCTATTCTTGTGTTAGAGGGGATGCTAATAATGATACTCAAACAGGTAAACTTACTGCCAAGATTTCCCGCAGCCAAAAGCCAAGCCAGACCGATAGATCTCTTCCACGATGGTGCGAGGTTGTTACCTGTCCATGCGCTAATACCTGGGAGAAGCGGATAAATACCGATCTGAGCCAGCATGACACCAACATACATGGCTGGAACATTATCCGCCACGTTCTTGGAGTAATTGAACAGCACAGCCAGGGCGACAAGGAGTACCGACATCGGTCCGACGATGAAAGGCATACGCCACGACAAACGGTCCGAGAATCTTCCAGATAACCATGCAGCAATACCGCCACATACATACGGAGGCATCGTCAAAAGCTGTGATTGTGCGGTTGAGAATCCAAGCTGCTTGATGATCTGGGGCATGGTGAACTTGAAAGCAGCATTGGGGACAGAATTAGCCCAAGCGAGGATAATTCCCAGCAACACCTTCCAATCGACCATTGTCTTGAAGAGCAGCTTCCACGAGAACTTGTCTCCCTCTTCCGTGTTTGATCTGACTCCGGAGAGTCGCAAACGGAGGTCCACAAATCGCTTCTCGTCATCCGAGAGCCACTTGGCTCTTTCGGGAGTGTCAATGATGAGGAGTGGCATCACAAGACCAGCTGCGACAGTCACAGCTCCTTCAATGAGGAAGATCCAGCGCCACCCGGCAATACCTCTAGCACCATCGAGACGAGCGATTCCGAAGGCAAGGAGGCCACTGAGTGCACCAGAAAATGCCGAAGCTGTGTAGAAAATGGCGAGACGTTGCTGAAGTTCGTGACGTGGGTACCAGCTCGAGACGATGAAGACGGCGCCGGGGAAGAAACCTGCCTGGCCAACGGGTCAGCATGGTAGAGCAGAAGGATTAAGCATCACTTACCTCGAATACTCCGAGAATTACTCGGCACGCAACGAGGCCTTGGAAGTTCTGCACTACTCCCATACACGTCATGACGATTCCCCAGCATATAATCAAGAACGAAAGCCAGATGCTCGCTCTCACCTTCTTCAAGACAATATTGGAAGGCACCTCTAAGGTTTGTCAGTGGATCAATCCCGTATCTCTTGTAAAAACTCACCAAAGATGATGTAGGGCACGAAAAAGATGGTGCTGGCGATGTTGTACTGGTTTCCAACAAGGCCAAGGTCCTTGTCCATCCCCTCGATTTTCGCGTTTCCAATATTTCCTCGGTCGATATGCGCAAGTAGATACAGAACGGCCATGATGGGAAGGAGTCGAAAGTCAATCTGCGCGCGTCAGTTGAAGCTACTTTGCCGCCTGTTATGAGCCTACCTTTTTGACGACTTTCTTGCCAGTCTTTCCTTCGTACCCCCTCATGAACTCAGCATCCTCTGGCGATAGGCCTGGATAGGCATCGGGAGCGTGCTCAACGAACTTGTCGTCTACCTTGATCGGCTCAAGGTCTTTGTTGTTGCTTTGGTCCATGGCTCGTAGGGATACGTCTCATGGATTTTGGAGTAACTGTTTGCCTACTTACTCAATTTACCACGGGGTTGAGTACGGTATATATGTTGACCTGGATCATGGTGATCAAAGCAACTCTGTCCATCGGGTACGCTCCGGTGCTACTGATCTCCAGCCCGAACCCCATGGGGACCCCGCATCTCACCTCATCAAGCTAAAGGGGACTTAGTGTTGGTTAGCTGGCTAGGTTGTCTGTTGCCCGAGTCACGTCAAGCGTGTGAACCTTGCCTTGGTCGGAATGGTTTCGTTGTGTCTGCGGAGCATGATATCCATCGGACATTCTCCGACCTCGGGGAAAGACCTGGTTCCTAAGACTTACTTCTTTCGAAAGTCAATTCTGGGACGGGTCCGATATTCATTCAGAAGTGGCCTTGGTATTTAGCATATTCAAATTTCTCACGAAAATAGGCAGAAGTGTAATTACGGGAGCAAAGGAATAGGTTCGGGAGACGCAATACTGAAATGACTTGACGCATGTATTTATCAGTCCAGAAAATATTCATCAGGTCATCCATATGCATTCAGGTATAGTATTTATGTTATCACTATATCAGAAACCTCCATCTCAAAAGAATGCAAGGGCATTTGGCGGGCTTGCAACAGCGCCAGGTACCTATCCAAAGTTAGCAACTTCGAACATGACTGTTGAAGAACACCCACATTCATTGGCGAACTTGACATGAAAAAAGTGTATCTCCCTAGTTTCTTGCATGTTTTGGCAAGTTCTTCCAGGTAGAATAGTTCTCCGATGGGCATACCCCAGCCCGCCAGAAGCCACTCATGCAAGTGCCATTCTAGATCTTTACATGGCCAGACTTCCAATGACCGTGCATCTCCGCAGATCGCTGCAATCCTGGTATCCCAAAGGAACCTTAGGAGTTCTTCAGATGGCTTGAGACCAATATTGTCGGGCTTTTGCGTCTGGTAAAGTTTATCGAGATACTCGCGCTTAGCAGCATCCATATTCTCGTATTGAGACAGATATCCGAACCGGATAACGATGATGTCCCCTGCTCGCAAAGATTCAAGGCTCATATTTTGGAATTCCAGAGTTTTGATGATCTGGTCAAAGGGGATCTCATATGATGACATGGCATCAATTTCGAGGCCCTGCGCGAGGGCCCATGAGTACCAGTCGATGAAGACAGCGCGTCCCGCGATTCCTTTGGCTGAAACATCTGTTATTTGTCAGCATATAGCTCGTTACATCATTCAGTATGTTGGATCATACGGTGGATACTATTTGGGTGGTCCGATGCTGCAAATTCCTCGGCTTTGCGGCCCATGTAGTACAACTGTGCTGTTAGCCTTGGCTAAAGGATAGCTGGTGTGAACCCACTGCTTCATTTTGATAAGCATAATGTCGAAAGCCATCCCACTGTGAGCTGCACTGCGAATTGAAGCTCCACTGTCACGTCACAGTCAGCTTTGGAGGGTAGATGCGGGTGGGGGGAGCCGACTTCATCATCGTGGGCATGCTTCAGAGGCGCCTTATTAATCAACCTCAGGTCCAGGTTCTTGCGAGCGAATTTAGGGTATGAGGCTCCCTTCATTGACCAGCTTGATCGTAAGTTAGCGCCAGTGTGCTGTAGTTCTACCGCGGCCTCACTTACTTTAGTGACAGCCTGGCCCCGGTCTTGAAGTTCTCTCTAGCTGCTTGTCCAACTACCTCATCTGTCAAATAGTTCAGAGTACCCAGCTGGTCGTCTTCCCCCCAAAGTCCCCATGCGTTACCCCGAGGGCCAGTCTTGTCCAGTGGAAGTTCGTCGAAGTTGGGATGTTGAGCAGCCATGATGTTCAATAGCACGCAATCAATTATTGTCGACTTCCGGCCGTCAGATTAGTCCTTGAGCTATGCATAAATAGTGATTCTAGGTATCTTGCCGAGATCCGATTGCAAGTCATGGGTTGCGGGGTAGCCAGCTAGCTGACACGGAAGTCTTCCAAAGCATGCCCGGGAAAAGCCCGAATGTGCCTGATGCTCGGGCTGGATCCAGCAACGACGCTATTCCCAGGTCAGACTGTCAGAAAACAGATCATTCCATCGTCAGGAAACATCCCCGAAGTCAGAGCTGAAGAACATCGTGATGCTTTTCCAGTAGTCTCAATGGATGGTTCACAGGGGAAAGTTTAGCATCTCAAAGGGCATAACATGTTCAGCACTCTTGGCCCTATGCCTACTAACCCTGACGGCTTCCAATCAATTTTGCTGGAAATCTCGCATGAATCTTTCTTTTCTCCAATTTCAGACTTGAACAAGACGCCAAAAGCACAAGAAGTGGAGCAAAATGCGAAGCTGTGAGTAATCAGGAGGAGATACAAGCTTCGCTACAGATTATAGCAGAGTGGAGTTCCTTCTCTTCTTGAACCTCCATCATTCTACCTTAATGACAATTTCCCCTTCGCCACTTGGTGGCTCAAACCCAACCAAATACATATCAAAGGTCTCATCATCAATATCAAAGGCTGAGTCACCATTTCTCTCAGGATCCTTCCCGTCTAATGAGTCCCTCTCAGCTCTTCGTCGTTGAATCCGGTTCCAGAGAAGATCTCGGTCAGCATCGAGGTATACCAGTACCCAGCGACCACCGTTGCCTTCCACAATAGCTTTGTACTCATCTCGATATTCTTTATCGTAGAAAGATAAGTCTAGTACTACATCGTTGGACTTGTCTTGAAGGATACGCTCAAGTTCTGCGATAAGCTTCTGGCTTGCTTCTTCTTGGTATGTTTCGTACTGTTCTGCGGGGTAGTCGATTTTGTAAAGACCGTGAGACTCGTAGATTATTTGGTCGTTTGAAAGCCGCTTGAAGTTTGGAAACTTAGTCACGATAGCTTTGGCGAGAGTTGACTTTCCGGCTCCTGTGCACCTTGATCAGCAGCCGTGCCTTTGTATTGAAGTGACTGAATTCTTCGATTTTTCTGGCTCACCAGCAATTCCGCAAGTCATCAATACAATGGGGCGGCCGTCTTGTCGTGTTCGAAAGAGGCGATGCGACAGCTGAGATCAAGGTCAGCCTTGCGAAACCCCAATTTCTTTTCGTCTTACCTGATCAAGTATATCCTCAGATGGGCCACCATCAGCGCTATCGGTTGATGCCATGGTTCCTATGTTGGAGATAGAAGCGTTTGGTGCCAAAACTTTATAATCAGAGGCACTCTAGTAAGAGGTTGAAACTTAGATGCGGCCTGAAGCCGAGAAGAGGGCTGATGAGTCACAAGATAACATCACACATGACGCCTATGATCCTTAGTCATCGATACAGTACAATTTGCCCAGCACACTCAAACGCTTATAATAGCATATTATTTTAATCGGTATTACTAGAATGAAGAATTATAAACTATTGCCAATGCATGGCATTCCCAACTCGACCCGTGACTATACTAAGCTGGTCTTGCATATGTCTCATCTGAGACACGAGACCCTATCGACTCCGCATTGTTCTCCAATGTATGCATCTCTACGTCTACGGTAACTATAATCCCTCTCCTAGATGAGCCATCATCAAGACCTTCCCAGTGGTCCTTGCCGTCGTTCTCCACATCTCGTGATATGTTGTACCCTTTCACACGGCTTGCAGTTCCGATATGACTAGTAATGCCCAGCCCATTAGATCCCCCATATGGCTTAGGGGGTGAATATTGGCGAGCCGAGCTGTCAAATGTAATCCAGCGTTTGACAAACTTTCTCAAAGCAGGGAGAGAACCAGCTATGATACCGATTCCTGCTTCGACGGTGCTCCATAGAGAAACATGGCAGTGCCGATCTTGATTCAAGTTAGATATATTAGTAGAGTTATTTCACAAGCAAGATCAATGACTTACAAAGGTAGTCTGGATTAGGGTGGAAGTAAAACAAGACAAATGGCATTCGAATAATTGTAGCAACAGAGGCACTACACCAGTTAGTGAAACAAGCGTATGTCTTAATAGCTTGACCTACAGAGCACCAAGTCCAAGCACCATACTAATGGAGACCTTTGTCGCCAGTTTCATCTGCGCTTTGTACAACATCAATGCTGGTAGTGCTGCACAAATAATATCGGTCAATATCGAAGAGGCCGAGACGAAACAAGCCAGGATAGCCAGAGCCGAAGGTGGTGAGCATTTTCCGTCACCATTCCAAGTTGCTGACAATGGCTTGCAGAGCACGAAAAGGCTTATGAACACAATCATGGCGCAGATAACAGCCATAGCAAGTGTCATCCATGCAACCACTCGATGCCATGGTATAACTGCGATTCTTAGCAGGGCGTCGCAAATAGAAGCTTTTATGAAGACGAGGGATGCGCAGTAGAATATCTGGAAGAGCCAGACATACTGAGCGCCAGGTCGTTAGCCAGACACAAGGACATAGAGGAGGTGGTGATGACATACAAACCTTCCATGAGGGTAAATACCCTCTGGGAGGACTGAATCTCGCTGGCCTGCTCCATAGTATGTAGATTTAGAGCTTACGCCGACAAGTATTGCAAACAAAATCTTGCGACTGGATGTTAGCTGCCTGGTTACTGTAGAGATTCCGGTGGTGAAACCAACATATCCAATGACCATCAACATATCATCAGCTCCAAAAACACGGTTCTTTACGCGAATAAACGTCCGCAGAAAGACAACAACGGTAGTAAGAATACCGAACAGGATAGAGGTGATGAGCTGAGCCAAACCGAGCCCGCGAGGCTCAATTGTCGGTGCAGCAGCCATTTCCAGTGGGTCGACGTCATGTAAGGGCACACCAAGCGAGTTCAAAATCTTTGGACGGAAATAGCTACGGATACGGGGTCTGTCTTATACGCTGTTGCTATCAAGTTGCTGGCTTTCTGTTTTCCGTATAAAACGTAAAGGGGACGCACAGACGCCGGGTAACAGTTTTCCAGGCGATAGTCCGCCACTCACTCTTACCAAACATCAGAACTTACCCAGATTTGTCAAAGTCTTATGCCGCGGGAACGGGACACTGTCTCCTTTCTTAGGGCAACCTATCGGAAGTTGCGCATTGTAGATTATTCTGTAGTTAGGTTCAAGCCTCGATTTTCAGGGCTGAGACTGAGTCGCGTGAGCCCTGGTCTATGGATGTTGATCAGAATTCCCTATCAACTCTGAAGCTCTTCGATTGGCTGAACCAGCTACTGCAGTCATTCCGATAATCTTTTTCGGAAGAATAAGCTTAGATCCCCTTGTGGCATGTACGTCCATAACAAGTCTTTCTCCATCCGTGGAAATGCGGCCGGGAATGCTGATGTCGTTTATCTTATCTTATCTTATCTACACCAAATCGCCCACATCAATCAGTCTCACTTCATTCTCATCGCAGACAATGAAAGGTCTCTTAATTACATTCTGAGCTTACTTCTGCGCAATGAGCTCGTCATCACAAATACGTGTCTGCAGTTCCGTCACAGGAAACCAGAATCTCAAAAGACAAGAAGCAAGAACGGAGCTGAGCTTTGTAATGAACTCTACCGTAATCACTTGCCTGCTCAGGGACTGTCCCAGGGAGAACACCTGTAAGGCTGCCTACCTTAAGCGCAATCAAGCATGTATAATAGTGCATGATCAATTCATTTCCAGTAATCGTGATCAGTATAGCAAAGATGTATCATCTGTCTCGCCATATCCTTGCAATTATCGTAGCCCTATGGCTTAGAATGAGAGTCTTGCCCAGGTAATGAATAGGGCTGTCCACCAAGTTAGCTTGTCACGTTAAACAAATATTCTTCACGTCATTTCTTCTGACAAGCATAATTGCCCTTTACACCCTTGAAATTGCTCGTTGTTGAAACAAAGGGAGACGACATTGGCTCGCCTGACTCCCCAGTGAGCGGCGGCAAATTCATCTCGACTTGCAGAAACACGATCCGCAATTCAGGCCAGAAATTGCTGTGCCATACACCTGATACAAACAGAATCCTTGGCACAAACAGGTCCACAACCATGCTAGGGTTTCGCGGAGTTGAACAACGTAAGTGAGCCAATGGGGCTCAAAAACGACCAAGAAGCGCGTATTCTCGCTCCGGATCCGAAGTCATCGATAGAGCCGGATTCAGTCAAACAGTCTTTCGAAACATTTTGTTCAGTTTGGTGACCTAGCTCTAGTGATGAAATGAAGGCAGCTGTTAATTGTTTCATCAGTGTTTATATAGCCTTTTCCACGAATAAAACACAAACCTCGAAACTAAACTTCTTCTCAAATAAGCATGGGCAATAAGCATAATTTTTCCGTCACCGTTTCAAGATCATCTTGGCGCCAGCCGTTTGGGTCACTGCAACATGGGCATGAGACACTCCGCGTCGGACAATCGGCTCAACATACCATCTTGGCCTAGCACGTTTTCAACAACAAGACATCTAAAAGGGTCCCTACATCGTCAGCTAAACATCACTTTCTCTCACTTCTTTGGTACTGCTCTTTACTTTCCTTCATTTAGCTCTCATTCATTCGTTACATCTTAGGCCGGCCTAAGTCATTCGTTTATACTTTTTTCCACGGCTTGTCTTTCATTTCTCTATTCAATATGCGTCTGCAAAGTATCACTGCCATCTTGGCTGCTGCAGCCACGGCTTCTGCTCAGAGTGTTTCGGGCAAGGCTTACGGTTTTGCTGCTGGTGTGACTGGTGGTGAGGGAGAGGCTGTTACGCCTTCTTCTGCTGAGGAGCTCGCTACGCTTCTCGCTGATGACACTCCTCGTGTTATCTACCTCGACAAGGAGTTTGACTTTACTGGAAATGTCAAGACTGGTGCTGGTTGCGATCGCAAGAGCTGCAGTGCCAGCAACGGCGGTCAGCTTTACCTCGGTGATCTTTCTTGCGGCGGCGATGACAACGTCGCTGTTAGCTCTATCACCTACGACGCTGCTGGTCCTGAGCCCCTTCCCGTTGGTAGCAACAAGAGTATCATCGGTAACGGAAAGGCTGTTCTCAAGGGCAAGGGTCTCTCAATCAAGAAGGGATCCAAGAACGTCATTGTCCAGGGCATTGAGTTCACCGACATCAACCCCGGTGTTGTATGGGGAGGTGATGCTCTTGAGCTCAAGGGTCTCAACGATGGTGTTTGGATCGATCACTGCAAGTTCTCCAAGGTTGGCCGCATGTTCATCGTCTCCCACTACGACGGCTCCCGCCTCACCATCTCCAACTCCGAATTCGATGGTGTCACCGACACTTCTGCTTCTTGCAACGGCAACCACTACTGGACCATGATGTTCTACGGTGAGGGTGACCAGGTCACTCTTGATCGCAACCACTTCCACGATGTTGCTGGCCGAGCTCCCAAGCTTGGTGAGCCCGGCACCAACGGTTACTTCCACGCTACCAACAACTATTTCCAGAACATGAAGGGCCATGCTTTTGATGCCTACCAGGGAGCCAACGCCATCATTGAGGGCAACGTCTTTGATGGTGTCGATACTCCTATCACTAAGGAGGCTGCTTCCGTCAGCACTCTGTTCGTCGCTGATGAGAGCGGTGCTTCTGCTTGTCAGTCCGCCCTTGGCCGTGCTTGCGTACCCAACTCTGCTACCAGCAGCGGTGATCTTCCCTCTCTGAAGGGTGAGAGCGGCCTCAACGCTGTTGCTAAGAACAAGGACAACATCATTACCCCCGTCTCTGCCAGCGAAGTCGCTGCTCTTGTCCTTGGTAGCGTCGGACCTGCCAACGTCGGTTCCGGCTCCAACTCTGGATCTGGCTCTGATTCCGCCCCATCTCAAAGCCCCGAGTCTGGCAATGATGCTACCGAGACTACTCCCGCTACACCTGAGACTACTCCCGAAAGCACCCCCGAGACTGCTCCTGAGACTACCCCTGAGGCTGTCAACGAGCAAGAGGCCCTTCCCGAGGAGACCGAGACTGAGCCTGTTGCGAATGAAGAGGTCGAGCCTGTCGCTTCCGACGACTGCGAGGAGGAAACGGACGCTACCCCTTCCAAGACTGAGGAGGAGTCAGTCGCTACTGACGAGTGCGACGATGAGATCGAGGCTGCTGCCGACTCCTCCTCTTCCGCTGGTTCCTCCACCGCTCAGATGTACGGCCAATGCGGAGGCAAGAACTGGACTGGTGCTACCACGTGCCCCTCTGGCACTTCTTGCAAGAAGATGAACGACTATTACTCCCAGTGCATTGGCTCCAACAGCCGTGTCCGTCGCTATGTTCAGTAAAAAGCGTTGGCTGTAACCAAATCGCGACGCGACGTGACGCGATTGAGCTTTTCTTGTAATTATTATCATTTATTTACTCACCTCGATGTCGAGAAATGAAGAGTATATAGCAATTGAATGGGCACAGAACCCGATCTCACTGTATTTTTTTAATGATAAAATTCCAAAGCCGATAGGAATTGAGCATCTGAACAGCGTGATGGACGCTAGTAGCGCGACGCGACGCGTTTATTTACTGGCGAAGCTACCCTATAGAGAGGTAGATTTTGTGGTTACACACTTGCAGCGTCGATTTAAGAGTATAAAAGCCGTCGCTTTTGTCAAGGACTATCATGTTTTTACTTAAAAAGTGCAGTTTACGGAGACATCTTCACAGAAAGTCGTGATTCAATGGTTCACGATCAATTTGATGTTTGCTCGGTTGAACCAGGTCCTATCTAGGTATACTACCAACCAGAATGTCAAGCAGAAAAAATGTTTCAGATTTCGTCTTCCCAATGCTCGCGTGTTCGAATCCTGGGACTGACAGTAATATTTTTATTTTTGGAATGATTGCAATAAGCCACTGGAACTCGATCAGTCCTCGCGTGCATGTCCATGTCTGTCTCTCACTTCCCCAACGACTCCTCCAAGCACCCGCTGTGGATAAGTCTGTGCAAGCTTGCATATGCACGGCATTAACGGGTGCTCACTTCTGGAAGTTAAAGTTGGCGTTCACCAATAAAGACGGACGGTTCATGCGACCACTGATCAACAGAGACGCTGCAAGTTGTCACGAGTCTCAATCATGCATATGTCGAACCATTTGCCTTGTTTCATTGAGTTGATGCTGCAGAATTTGTCTCATGCAAGTTACTCTGCTACCTGCCTACCTATCCTCCAACTTTGGCACCCTTAAACTCTCCCCCCTCCAACTGAGTCACCCCTCTTGCTGATGTGTCTCGTCCAGAGTCATAATATCGTGTTATTTACTTAGAGGCATGAACAACAAAGCAACAATCTGAAACAGCTGTCGTCAATGATTTGGTGAGGGATTATTTAGACTCACCTCGGCTCGGAGCTAAACGGGACCTAACCCGTCCGTTACCGTTGTCTCCACCGCCAAGTTTAGCACAGATCTAGCAGCCTATGGCAGATGGCGATGTGGCTTGACACGTACATGATCCAAAACTTGACCAGCGCATGACTCCAGTATGAGTCACTCAACAAGTTTGGCGACTCTTTTCTCGAGTGGTATAAGAGTCTGTGTTTCAGTTTCTCAGTTTTCGCCTCTTTTCTCTCTCAGATATCAGGCAAAGACACGAGAATTACACGAGGATCGTTCACGTTAGACAGTTTAAATTGCGCAATCTCCCCAGCCACACACCCTCTTGCTCAGATACCACCAGCCACATCCCCCTCCAGTCAAACCTCATGACCCATCCAGGCACATCCCATGACTTGTCAATGCTCACCGCTCTTCTCAAAACAACATTGTTCTTAACTCAGCATCGTCCAGGTTGAGTTGGGAAAACTGAAAGGATCTGATCTTGAGATATCTCATGTCTCTTGGTCAACAAAAACAAACAAAAACAGACAAAACAGACCAAACATAGCGCACAGGCCGTTGGAACGCCGAGAAATTAGTGGTGACGCTTTATTTACATAGACCCTTGAACAAAACGCCCCACGTGGCTGAAGAGTAATTTCCGGGCCTTATCGTGTCGCGTCAGTGACCAAATCTTCCTTAACTACCCCTTCTAGCAGGCATCGCGCCCGCCAGCCCCCTTGAAATCTTTCAACTCTGCACTGCACTATTTACGTCTCTTGGGTTGGGTTGGCTAGGTAATAATGAACCCCCACTCATGATCGTATCATTCATTCAATGATCCTCTAACACATCGTCTCACAGACTGCTATGGCCCATCAGAGTCGTGTCAAAGGTCCAGGGATTTCTGCCGCCAAAGCTCCCGCTCCCGTGCCCGTCGTCCGTGACGTCTCTGACTGGGAGGTCTTCACTGATGACGAGTCTGACAGTGACACTTCTCAGAACACTGTCGATTTCATTGAGCCCCCTCCTGCCTACAAGGTAGACGATCCCGGTTTGGTGGTCAACAGACCCACGCTGGGTAGACCGACTTTGGGCAGGCCTGTTGTTGAGAGGCCTGTCCAGGAGAAGCGTCAGTCGTCGTGGCGACAATGGCTCAACAGGGATAAGGTCAGCCCGGAGGCGGCGGATGAACCGACTTTACGTCCTGACCGAAGGGTGAGGCGTCATCGGCCTGAAACCGAGACACCCGAGGAGCGGGACGCGAGAAGATCAGAACGTCGTCGTCGACACAGAGAGCATGAAGACCGTGGTCGCACTGAGAAGGACCGCCATACTCGTGACAGAAGCCGAGCAGGTAGCCCAAGCACGCGACACAGACGACACAAGCGACGCGAAGGTGAGGAGAGAGAAGAGAGAAGCGATGAGAAGGAGTCTCGTCGCCTCTCACGAAGATTCCTTGGACGAAGTGATGAAGAGGACAAGGAACGGGAGAGGGAGAGGGAGAAGCGCAGATCTATGAGAGAACGACCTACTCTCGACAAGAGACACTCTACCTCTGCCTCCATCAGACATCGCGACCCTGAGTATGCCGAGCGCGAGAGGAGATCTAGTCGCGTGGACGGTGAGAGACGACACAAGAGTAGCCGTGAGCACTCACGAGCCTCACATAGCCACACTCCTCGCGCTCCTGAAGAAGGCAAACATCGCGATGAGGACCGGGAGGCTCGGAGAGCAGAGCGCCGACGACTACACAACGAGCGCAAGGCGGCTACCCCCAAGAACAGTGACTCTGACCGCGGCGAGAAGGAGAGGTCATATACCAGAAGTGTCGACCCCGAACGCGCAAGAGAGCGACGCCATAGCCGACATCTCAGCCAACTTGACAACGACAACCGCAGGGACCGATACAAGGACTACGAATCAGCCCGAGCCTCAATGAAGATCAAGAGCCCAAGTCCAGGTTCAGATCCTGAGAAGGAGAAGTTGAGGATGCATGAGAAGGAGCGCGAGAGGGAAGAGGAACGGCAGAGAGAGCGTGAACGCGAGAAGGAGAATGAGCGCGAACGCATCCGCTTAGAGGAGAAGCGAAAGGCCGAAGAGAAGAAGAGGATTGAGGAGATGGAGAAGGAGCGTGAGAGAGAGCGACTTGAAGAGCAGAAGAAGCTTGAAGAGAAGAAGAGAGCCGAGGACAGGCGACGTGCTGAAGAGAAGAAACGTGCCGAGGAGAAGCGTAAGCTCGAGGAGAAGAAGAAGTTGGTAGAAGAGAAGCGTCGCCTTGCCGAGAAGAAGCTCAAGGCCGAGAGTCGACGAAAGGCCGCTGAGGAGCGCGAGAAGGAGAAGGAGCGCGAGAGAATCGAGGAGGAGAAGCGTCTTGAAGAGGAGCGACGTATTGAGGAAGAACGAAAGCTCGAGGAGAAGAAGCGTCTGGAGGAGAAGCGAAAGGCTGATGAGAAGAGACGCGCTGATGTCCAGGAGAAGGAGCGAAAGCTCGCCGAGGCCAAGAAGCGTATCGAGGAGAAGGAGAAGCGCGCTGCTGAGCGCAAGGAAAAGGACGCTCGTCGTGCTCTCCGCAAACAACAAAAGGAAGAGCAAAAGAAGAAGGATGCTGCCGCCGAGGAGCAAGCGTACGTCCCCAGTCCCCAACCATCTCTACCATGTTATACTAACAGCAGCACAGAAACAAGCCTCAAATTCTCGGCCCCAACAAGTGGCCTGCCCCAGGCGCACGACTCGGCCCCGCCCTGGGCCCCCTGAGACTAGCTACAGCTCCAGCTACAGAGACCAAGCCGAAGCCGGCTGTTGTTGACGACTCCGACAGCGGTGTCGACTAAAGCGAGGAACAAACAGTACATGAGGCGTTCGTTTTTTACCGGGATGATCAAAGCGGTTCTTTTTTGATCTATGACACAACAATCTCCACTCACAAACCTGAACATGAACTTGCAGGATGAAAGATTTCCTGGACGGTTCAACCGACTAATGCGGCTTTGGAAGAAGCCTACTTTATACCCTGACTGATGAAACAGTCACAACTCCACTCAAAGAAATACTTTAACGCTAATGCTCTGTATGAGTATAATATGAATATGAATGATTACGAACACTTTGGTTTCTCTCGTGACTGTCACATGTACTTGAATTACTTGATTATGACTGCGCCTCCGTCGACAATGAGGTCCTGACCTGTCACAAAGCCAGCGTTGACTAGATACTCAACAGCCTGAGCAATATCTAACGGTCTCCCAGCTCTATTCGTAAAATGGTCCTCCACATCCTTATCCTCGTTCAAGTGCGACCATTCAACTTGGGCATGATGATGGTGTTGCAGTGAGGTTCGGTCTGGTTCATGTGAAGGCAAGTCGAGTGGTAATATCGTCAGAGGTACGGGCGTCATGAGCACGTGCTGAAGACGTCACTCTACGTCATTGAGTCTGGCGATATGAAGGAAAATGCAGAGCGATGATCTCTCATCGCCGTGCATATTGTTTTGCGCTTCGATGCGTGTTATTCATTCTAGGCACGGAGGCAGAGACCGGTTCTTTCATGGCTGCCATTTCGCAAAAATGCGGAGTGGTATGGGATCGTGTTACAATGAGTTTGGATAATCTACGATAAATTGAACCACGACCATCTTATGAATATTCCAGCGTCTGTTCTAACTTATCGTACACCTACGAGAGGAGATTCTGCCTCGGCGGGTAAGCCTGGTACATGATTGGCTATAACCGAACTTGAGGCTTCAGCTCAGACATTTCCTAAGGCTGAAAGATGACGCTTCCCCTCATCGACAGTTTCCATCTTTCCATCAAATAGATATTTTCAAGACAAAAGTGCGTCTGCAACTTGTTTCTCAAGGTTTTGTACACATTCAATCCCGAACGATGGAGGGGCCCTCTACACGCGCAACACGAACTCCATCGCCACCACATCAGGCTGCGCAGCTACCAGACATTACCGACACCTCAACTCCTGCTGTAGGTATCGGCAATATTCTTGCGACGTCATCGTCCACGACGCAAGGTCCCTCGGAGGGCATTATAACTCTCCACGATGACCCGAGCGCTGTCGCCGACATATGTTTTGTCCATGGCTTAATGGGAGATCGCGTGGGGACATGGACAGCGGAAGGGGAGTCTGAGCCTTGGCCAAAGACGCTTCTGCCTGCACTGCTTGGCAAAGTCCGCATTCTCACGTATGGATATAATGGGGATGCGTTATCAAACTCACCGAGAGCTGGCCAAAGTCCCGCTGATCGCGCCGCAAATAATCTTCTGATTGACTTGACGATGGAGCGAATCGCGGGCAATGCATCATCACGACCTTTGATCTTGGTCGCGCATAGTCTGGGTGGTATGATCTGCAAGAGGGCTGTTCTAATGTCATACGATAATGCCAACAGCCACCTCCAAGGTGTATATATGAGTCTGAAAGCAATCATGTTTATAGGGACTCCCCATAAAGGTTTACAGACGTCTGGTTGGGCGAGTGTTTTGACTTCATTGCTTGGGATTTCAGCCATCCCAAAGGATCATCACCTATCTGACCTTAACTCATATCCAATGTTACTTGAGGTCACCCAGGAGAGATTCAAAGCTTTGATAGAAGACCAGCGGGACAGGGACAGGCCGATCGTTACGCAGTCTTTCTTTGAGGAGACGCTGGCTGGCAAGATTGGACTCACCATTTCAAAAGAGTCAGCGACGTTACCAGGGAATGAACCTATTCCCATCAATACCAGTCATAAAGACATGGTACGCTTCAACTCCGTTCATGATGCCGGATATCAGAAGATTGCCAATGTATTGCAGTTATGGATATCGGAATTTGGTAGGAAGCAACACACTCTTTCAATCTCATTACTTACAGTAACTAGAAGATATACGAATCACACAGCCACAGGCCGATGGCTCCAATAACGATAGCCTTCAAACAGGAAGGTCTCTCAACAGAGACCGACTTTCGCGCCGTATGCTCATTCTTCCTCCATCGGTCAGAGCACCAGTTCAACGGCCCCCCAGCCCTATTGAATTCGCCGATGTGCCCACAGAAAGGCCCTCCAGGCTCAGGCCATGCTATATTATGTGTTCTATCATGGCACTCGTAGTTATCGGAAGTGGTATTCTGGGCATTTACTATACAGTTCAGTTCGATAGGATGGGGGATGGCTTCACGGCTGCGAGCTGGATCGTTGCCATAGGCGCTATGGCTTTGGCTGGTCCGATGGCTCGACATTATCCCCATTGTTCATGCTGGCGGCCGAAAACACCTTACTACCATGCGATGCGTAGAGCCAGCACACTGCCAGTATCATGAGGCATATTCTTCTGGGATGCTGAAGGCATGAATAAATGAAACGAGACCTCAACATGACTTATACATGCTTGCCCTATAGGCCCTACAGTGAGAACCCACCGACCAATGTACGCACTGAGGAGATTTTATAGTTAGTGATAGTACCTGACTGAGGTCCATACTGTGTCATCCATCGATGCATGTTGCCAAGTTAAAGGCAAGGTAGCAGAACGGTCCTTTCATGGATGCTACTCCTCAATGACGAGTAGGTGTGTTGAATCTTTTTACAACGCGGAAGAAAGTGTCTCTTGAGAACGTATAAAAAGATTATCATTGTATCCAAAGGGCGATCCAACTTCCTCGTCACAGTCTTAAGTCTGTAACTAGATGCTTAACTACGGCTTCCACCCAACCACTGCTCGAACAGCTTGAGTCATAGCACCAACTTGCTTATTCGTCTTGACCGATTTGCCTTTGTCATATCCTTCTCTGTAAGCGATCCTGTCCTCGCCTACAATTCGTTAGCTTATGAAACCAAGCTTCAAGCGACAGAGAGCGGTCTTACCAAGTAATGCTTTAACCCAATGCTTTGGTGCTGCCTTCTGTTGTTCATCCCAAACTGTCAGGAGATAGAGTGCAGTAGTGCCATATTCCGTCTGGTGCTGATGCACGGAGGCATTAAACTCCGGATTGACACGTTTGGCAAGGTCAAGTCGATGTTTCGTTGCTTTGGCTGCTGTCTCGACAGTGACATATTTATCTTTACGACTGATCTTATTCAGGCCAAGATCGCGTGCAACGGGATCAAAGACAGTAGCATCAAAATGCAAATCATCGCCGAAGAAGATGTCGTTTCGAGTGAGGGAGCCGTCGACCTCGATCTGGTCATGCTGAGCCAGGTCTCGGAGATTGAAGGTTTTGCTGGGCTGGTTTGTGGTGGAGATATTCAGCTGAAATACCATGTTGACGGCATCGATGTAAAATCCGTCTTCGAAATTATAAGCGGCCTGGGCTGCATGATTGATCATGTCGTAATCGAGGTTTGCGCCATCGCGTGGAAGGTAACCGTGGTTAGCGAGAGCGTTGAGGCCTGGGCATGGTGATCGACCTATAGTGAGACACAATGCTAGCATTTTGGTCAATGTTCCAATTTGATACGGAAGACTTACTGTCGTAGGGTCCTGTGGCGCGAAACTCATGACCCTTTGGATCTGGTAGTGCAGAGGCCACGATTGCGAAGAACGCCGAAGGAAAAAGAGACGCTTTCATGATGCAAAACAATTCTGTTGGGGTTGAAAGTAATTGATTTTCTAGAATTAGGGAGAGAGACACATATTTAACGCTTTTCATCTCTTTTATTACTGCTGTATTTGCTGTTTTGCGTATAGTCCTGCCGAAAGAATACGCCTGACGCTTGGTTTGCGTATTGCGTATTTGGGGCGTATTATTAGCGGCAAGCGTATAACGGGCGTATTGCTTACTGGGGAATTAGTGAGTTTAGTGGGCCACTTTACTCCCTTAGCGTCTTCCTTGGGCGCATGCATTTTATATGATAAGATTGAACTGGGGTCAATCATGAGATACTCAGTTCTATGATCACAGAGCAGCGGCATGGGGACAAATACATTGATGAAGAGCATTTTATCGAGTAGTTTCTGATCAATAGCATAAGAAGAACCAGACGCCAGCATTCTTGACCTGTTTGCCTACTGAGACGCCCTTGATTACTTCACGTATGCCAGTTTGGCGATCTCATCAGCTGCCACATCACGCCCCTTCTTCCCTGCTTTAATCCTATCACCCAGATATTTTGCTCGTCGCTGCAAGAAACTCTCGCCACAACCATCTATTCCCTTCATAAACGCATCCAACAAGCACTCGCTCGTCCAGTTGGGCGTTGAATCCTTACATCCCCAAACCCCAATGCCTCTTGTCTCAGCTAGAGCAGCATAGTTGTAGAGGTCGGCCCACAAAGGAAGGATCACTTCTGTCACACCCGCTCTTGATAATGGTCAGTGGTTGTCTGCCGAGTGTTCTTGAGCTTTGACTTACGCAAGGGCTTCATGATAGCAGTTTGAACCGCCATGATGCACTGAAGTAACAATGTTCCCAGTATCGAGAAGTGAGGACGGGTCTGCTACGAGCCAACTTGGCATTCTTAGTCCCTCGTTATCAAGGTACGGCTTCAAGTGCACCAAGAAATCATCGGAAAAGTCTCCCAGCTTATTAAATTTCCACAAGACCTGGTATTCAGTAGAGGATAGTAACACTGCTATGGCGATCGCCATAAGTTCAGCACGACTTTCGTCATACTGCCAGACATTAGCTGCGCATGCATTTCTTGTACCGTTCAGGACCCACCGCAAGATTACTACCGAGATTAATGAGAAGCGTAGGAGCTTTCTTGAGCCAAGTTGCAGTTTCAGGATCTTGTTGATCAGCTGGTGGCCCTGATAGGATGATTGGCCCAGCACAGGTGACGTTGGGCGGAAGAACCTCTACTGGGATCATGGCGCCCTGTGTGTTTTGAGTGATTCACAGAACGCCCGGTCGATGTATTCTAAATAAGTTTATTGGTTCTTCCAGCCCAATCTGTCGAAGTCGAGCTTTCTTTGCTGATGCATCTGGAGTAAACATTGCGCTGTAGATATAACGAATATTCATGTATACGTTCTCCGGCAGCTTGAGTAGAGGAACTGGGAAGGGAAAACCTGATGATGGTCTATCACTATTAGTGTCAGTCGATGACTCCTAGTCCAGAACGGCTGAATACCCAATAAATGATCTACAAGAGTATTCGGCGTGATGAAGGCATGCTGCCTATTTCTTTTTCGCGTGGCATCTATAGCTGACCGGAACCAACGATCAAGCACAATGACAGCCGGGTCAACCTCATCGATAATGTCACCAAGTTCTTTGTACAAGTGTACATGATCTTCAAACGTCCATGGTGATATCCAGAGCTGTATGTGCTTGGCCAAAGTACCGATATCTCCCCATCCAGGAGGGGATATGAAACTTCGACCTTCTTTGGCGATTGCCTGCACAAATTTCAGGCCTGTGAGACCATGAAAGACAATGGTTTTCGCGTGAGGGGATTTAATCTTGGCGAATGATGGGATTCGTTCCAACTTTGGCTCGATAAACGGAAATGAAGCAAAATGCACTTCTATATCTGGATAATTCTCTAGTATGGCTGATGCAGTTGCAAGATGCACATTGGATAGACCATGCTCGCTGCTGTTTGTGAGGAAAATCAGGGTTTTGATTCTTCCTTGGAAATAGGGCGCATGTTGTGTCAAGGCCTGATGAGATAAGAAGTAAGCCAGAGGCACAATAAGCAGGGCCGTGAATAAGAGAATACGGGCAAACATGGTGAGCGCCTCGCTCACTGCAATTATTTCTGACACTATTCACAGGGCAGTGAATTGCCTCAATCTCTCTATGTCGCAAAGCAAAGCAGGTGTCTGCCTGCCCCCCACGTAAACTCATATTGCACATTGAGCTACGCGGACTTCGCCTAACCAATTCCACCGTCTCCTTCAACTGTTCGGCCATTCAAATCACCTAGCCTTAGGAGCTCTACCCTTTGAAAAGATTAGCTCATCCTTAAGCTGCTGCCTTGCCACGGGCAGACGAGGGGCACTGAAAACCCCGCACCACAGAAGAAGCAGGGAATGTAATCCTCTGCATGCTACCTTGCCATCCTAGGCCATCCTGCTTGGCACCTCGCTTGTTATCATGGCGGCAACTCGTACAGACCAACAAATTTCCCCCGCATCATGGCAGTCATTGCACCAATTTGCAAAGTCTATAATCTCAACGGCAATGGCGGCTTTGCTCAATTACCTACCCTTCACCAAGAAGGAAGAGCAACGTCCTCTTCCAGACACTGTTGAGTCAGATGACATCATTCCGGTGCACTTGTTCGACGATACTGCAGCGGCGCGGGGAATCGTACTGGTATGGACTTTGCAGTTTGAAGACGTATTGAACCCCCATAAACTGAACAATGCTCTGTCCAAGCTCTTTGAGTTGGACGGATGGCGGAGACTAGGTGGAAGATTTCGGCAAAGGGTATGACTTCCTGGATGCCCGAAGTATCTTGATATTGACCTGCATACAGTCAGATGGTGGACTCGAAATACATGTCCCGCGAAAATTTACAGAAGATCGGCCAGCAGTTTATTTCACCCAAGAAGAGTTTGACACCCCAATGTCAGAACATCCGCTGGCTTCACGATTGCCCAAGCCAACTGGAAGTATTTCTACTTATACTGGACCGAAGGGTTTTTGTGCTCTTGGACTCCGCCCCGAGACGCCTCGCAACATGGACGACTTTGTTCATTCCGACATACCTCAATTTTGTCTACATGTGCAAACCTTCACCGATGGTACTCTCGTCAACTTGACGTTCTCCCATGTGACAACTGATCTGATGGGGCTGTCTGCCATATTCGAGGGTTGGAGTCAGGTCCTTGCTGGGAAGCCAGAAGCTGTCATCCCAATGCCAGGATACCGAAAAGATGTGTTCGATGACATGCTCAAGTCTCCGCCCAAGGAACAACATCTTTTTGCAGACAAGATTCTTGATGGCTGGCGTTTCAAAGTCTGGGGCTTACGAAGCTTGTATGAATCGTGGAGATCCGGCAATATTCAGTCGCGGACTCTGTGTATCCCGAAAGAGACAGTTAGCAGAATGATGCAGCGAGCGAGAGGGCACCTGGAAGAGGAAGCAACTGACAACAAGCCATTCATCAGCGAGGGGGATGTCTTTGCGGCTCTTTCTTGCCTTATGTTAGCCAAGTACCAAGGCCGGGGCACAAATCGAGAGCTGGCAACTATCATGGCTGTCGACCCTCGAAGTCGAGCTCGATCAGTCTTCTTACCAGACAAAGCATACGTACAGAACTCTCCTACCAACGCCTTTGTGTTCTGCCGTGCCAACGAAATCTTGGACCTACCACTTGGGAAACTTGCCCTCCAAGTGCGAAAGGCCATACAAGCACAGACCACAGAAGAACAGCTGAAAGCCTCAACAGCGCTCTCAATCGAGTCTATGAAGACGAAAAATATGCCCGTCGTCTTTGGGAGCACCAAAATGGCTGCCCAGTTTATGTCGAATTGGAGCAAGGGAGACCTTGCTGAGAAGTTGGACTTCAGCCCCGCGATAGAACAGGAGGTACACCCTGAGTCTAGAAGGGGGAAGAGGGGACATCCTGTGTATTATCAAGCTTCTGATCCCGGACACAACACTGTCTCCGCCATATCGAGCGTGTTCGTAGTGGTTGGTAAGGACTATGAAGGAAATACTTGGTTTTCCAACTCGTTACCGCAGAAGATGTGGACAGACTTGATGGATTACCTTGAGCAGCTCAGCCATACTGGTAGAGGGTCTAAACTCTGACCAGCATCTTTTATTTCAGCTGGAGGGGGCTGTTGATAGCCTGAATAGTTTGTATTCAATTTTTAAATTAGCCAAGTTTGTGACTTTTTTTGTTCGATGGAAGAATCTCGATATAGCATGGTATCTTCTTTGATGAGGATCGTGAGGTATTGGGACGTAGTCAGATTGCACTCTATTCAAACGCTATCTATATCTAAGGGCATCTCCAAAACTCCCAGCTCATTCGCGCCTCGATGTTCATATGCCCTGGAAAAATCTCAAGGCTTTCAGGGTCTCCCTCTCGACGTCTTTCAGTCGCGAAGAGCAGCTTGTGCAAAAAGCACCGGTGTCAACCCCAGTAGCGACATAGATCCCCAAGCCCACGAATTCTGCCTTGGGTACCTTAACACTTGCCAATATGCCACCATCGTCAACCCGACTCGTAGGAATGCACGGGCAATCATTGGAGCTTTGACGATAATTCCTGTGGTTGTTATGTCGATGCCATGAGTGAGAATTGATTCGACTACAACGCCAACCGTAGCCAAGAGTAATACAGTGTTCTGCTTGCCGAGCTTGACAGGCAGTGTTTTTAGGCCTTCTTTGGTATCTTCCGGAATGTCTCTGATGTCGCATGATGTCTCACGGAAGAATTGGTACAAGACAGCGAGATAGAAGCTTCTTGCTCGTAAATCTCTGCTCGCACATTGGTACTCCTTCTGCCGGCAGCAATAAGCCATACTGGCTTCGGCACAAACACTTGCCATACAGAATGCGACTACCAAAGACTTTGCTTCAAAGAGCTAAGAATGTAAGGATATGTAGTGTGTATAGAATGAGCGTTGAGCTTACTAGAGTTTTGGGCTTGCTTAGAATCCATCCTTTGGATAACGAGTACAACGGGACGCAAGGGATTCCCCAAGCCAGACCAAGAGGAAGGACACGGTATATGTCGTATATGGTGTGAAAGTCCAGAGTTGCAGTACAGACCAGGACAATGGACCAGAGGCCATATATCCAAAGGTTCCATATCCACTTGGCAGGCCGGTTTGATGGCGAGAGGTCTTTGTATGTGTCCATTGCTGAAGGGAGGGTGATTAGTAAGATAACCTTGAGATGGAGTTAATTAGGGTCAAGAGTATGACTTGCAGTCAACAACAGCTGATATGGTACCAATAAGCCCGAGAAGCCTCACAGGAAAGTGATAGGACCCGGTTGCAGTCTGTATAGCACCTATGGCTGGAGCCAGATGCCCCAGCCCCATCAATGCAGGCATTACACCGAGGCTGTAAAAGGTATTCGTCCTGGACATATTTGATGTTGAACAAAGCCGAGAATGTGATCAGCAGATGGAAAGGTTGTCAAAGAAAAGATACTAGGTAAATAAACGTCATAAGGACGAGAAGAGAAGAGAAATACAACTTAGGATGGGCTGCCATGCTTTCACGCGGACAATCGCCGATACTTCCTCCTCCTGTCACTGACATCTGTCGGCTTCGGGTATCAGACAGCCAATTTTTAGTGATCCACGGCCACTCCGACCTAACTCGTCTCGCCAAGATGTTCCGTCATTGACCAAGAGCCATCAGTAGGTCCCATCTGGCCCGACAGGAGCATGTAACTGATGCATCCCAAGCCTCCCACGTTATCACTCACACTTCATTACCCAATGAGCTCACAAGAAGAATGTCAACCAATTAGTGGCCCTTTGTGACAAGGATACCTCCGAGCAGGGTTGCCCGCCCTCGTCATGTAAGCGAAGTCCTACCCCAGACTCTGAATCATGACGAGGTATTTCCAAGAAGTCGATCCGACCCTGAATAAGACTTTTGCATGCAGAACGAAATCGATCGTCATTAGGCGGCAGGATTCTCATAGAAACCATTGGCTACTCAGGTTCTTGGGGTTGGATCCTAAAAGGTGACGGTCGCATCCTCGAGGTGGGGCAGAAAGTAACAAGATATTGTGGTCTTTACTCTAGCCAAAGTTCTTTTACCCTTGACCTCATTCCTCGCTTCAGCGAGACCTTTACAAGCAGCTTTGGCCTCCACTTTGGGATAATTCAGCATTCTTTCCATTCTCAGGCTTTGTCATAATGGCTGTTGATCTCGCTACCGCCGCCCAGACGTTTCTGCCTCGCATTGTTTTGTACACAATCGTTGGTACCACTGCAGCATGGCTGTTACACCTGATGCAGCCTGCTTTCCAAGCGGCACTCTCCAAGGACTACCAGAAGTTCAACTGGGCCGGTGAAAAGAAAGGTGTCGGTACATTCATGAAGGCATCATATGAAGTTGCCCTCAAGTCTCAAGAGTATTTCAAGGAGACTCATCGCAAGGTACGCTATACATTTTACCTTTTTGGGTCCAAAGCTTATAAGACTAGATACTTGAAGCTGGCCATGGCGGTATCCAGCTCGTTCCAATCCCCCACTGCAGCACGGGCTTCATGCTCATGGTGCCCAAGCAGCTGCTCAATGAATACGTCAAACAACCTGAGAATGACATTTCCCTCAAGAGATACACCCTTCAAGCCCTTGTTCCTGACTACACTACCCTTGGCCCTCATATCGTCATTCACCCCGTCTACAGAAATGTTGTTCACAAAGAGCTCTACCAAAAGGTCGCAGACAAAATGCCCATGGTCAATGAAGAGATGAAGGCTGCTCTGGATGACAATGTCGCCTCAAAGCTTGACTCCAATGGTGTTGTGCAGATAAATATGTGGGATACAGCCAGTGCTATTCTCAGCAGATCTGCCAACCGTATTATCTCAGGTCAGCCTTTGTGTGACAACAAAGAGTACAGAGATGCTACCGCTGAATACGCCGCCACATTCTTTGCGTCAGCGCTGTACGCCCGCTTCATCCCACCATTTCTTCGCCCGTAAGCAGCCCCAAGACCTTGATCTCTTGTCGATTACAGTGATACGATGCTGATGTTCTACAGGCTTCTGCTGCCTTACATGTGCCGCCCGCTGATGCGATGCATTGAGACTGCTGCCAAGCACGCGACGCCCGTGCTGAAGGAGCGCATGGCCATTATTGATGCAGCCGAAGAAAAGGACATTGAACCAGATCTCCCTGTAAGTTTCAAGATCTACCGTTTATTTTTGACAGCGGCTGATACTTCCCAGAATGACATGCTGAGTGCCATCATCCTAGCCGCCAAAAAGGACCCCAACGGTCCATCAGAGTACGAACCAATGGTCATCGTCGCCAGAATGATGGTTCTAAACTTTGTCCAATCGTACACTAATCTAGTCACAATGACCAATCTGGTATATGACCTCATCTCACTCCCCGCAGGCAACTACGAAGCCATGATCAGCGACTTGCGTGCCGAGATAAGCCAGGAAATAGCCAAGGGCGATGCATTCTCACATGAATTCTTCCAAAGGCTGACGCTAATGGACTCGCTCATCCGAGAGAGCATCCGCTACAACCCAATCGGTGAGACGGGCATTGAGCGAGCCGTGGGTAGACAGGGCGGCTTCACTTTCTCCAACGGCATCCATGTGCCGCAGGGTGCCATCCTTGCTGCACCTATCAAGGCCTATCAGAGAGATGAGCGGACATACCCTGGCGGGTTTAATCCCCGACGATCAATGGAGGATCCGGAGCATCCCAAGATGACGGACATCTCACCGGATTTCTTGAATTTTGGGCTTGGGAGGGGAGCCTGCCCTGGAAGGTTCTTCACCAGCAACTTGCTTAAGCTTACGCTGACGCATCTGCTTATGGATTATGACTTTGAGAGATTAGACAAGAGACCGGAGAATGTTCGGAAGGTCACCATCGACGAGCCATGCGGACGATTCCTCATTACGTTGAAGAAGAGGAGCCATGCTTGAAATGGCATAGATAGATCTCGGCATGTATGTAGAGCAAACTGCAGTAAGAAATTAGTCTCAATCGAGTCTCGATACAGCAATGAGTGACAGGAATGCGAAGTCCGATCGCAGGTAATGACCAGATATGATAGACCAAAGCTTGAACATCTCAGCAGACCGACTCGAGCATGCATGGACATCTCAGAGGTTCAAAGGATCAACTACTCTTCCCTAGTCAAGCGTTAGCCCCTCCAATTACATATCTCATGATCCTAATTTCACTTCCCCAGGAGCTGTCCCCCGCCTACAATAGTGATACCCCGCACAGATAACACATGGACGTTGATCCTTCACCCCCGCATATGACAAGGCAGCAGAATAAAAATCTTGGCAGAGAACATCAGAAAAGGATGAATGCAGCGACCCATATGCATATTGTAATCTAACTTAATCCCTCAAACTTCTGATCTTGATGTAGGATCATGCAAGCCAAGTTTCCAAGATATTTTGGTACTTTTGTAAATTCCCGCTTACTCCTCCCCTAACTATCCACATGATGCAACGGTAACCGGAAGTGTAACCCAGCAGTTCATGATGAATCCTCATGGACAAACTCCAGCAGGGCATTTGTAACTTCGGCGCGTCTCTCAAGCATGATCCAGTGTCCTGCTCCTTCGAGAACCACTTCTTTGTAGCCCTTGCTTGCATATGGTGTGATGCCCCTCCCAATTTGATCCGCCCGTGTAACCATATCTCCACCGCCGCAGATACCAAGAACTGGAACTTTGAGCGTGCGTTGCTCATCTGTCAGTGGATCCTCGTCCTCTGCTTGGATTCCACGCATGAGGGAACGGTAGTAGTTGAGCAGGCCCTTGATGGTGTCCTTGCGTCTGTTTATCTCGAGCCAGCGGGTCTTGTCTTGTTCTGTGAGAAATGGGGGGAGGGGGCATGTCTTGTCAGAAGTCAGCCATTCTCGCGTTCCGTTGATGGCTGCAAGACCTGTTATCCATAGGGCATTGTCGTCGGCGTATGCGAGGTGGAAGAATGACTCTAGCTACAACAAATCAGTGAATTAGTTCAACAGGACACTGGGTCAAGCACATACATGATCAAGAATAACTCGTTCGGCATCATATGAGTTGAAGAAATACCAGTAACCCAACTGCATATACCCAAGCTCCTTCTGACTCCAGACATTAAGTCCATCAATGTCAAAGAATACTCCAGGCGCTGTATAGCCGGCCGACATGAACACCAGCTTGGAAAATCTCTCAGGATGCCAAACAACAACTCTAGACATGACCATAGAACCCCAGTCATGTGAGACGCCAATGACTCTGTCAATCTTCTCATGATCTAGCAATTCTATAAAGTGCCCACTGAGACGCTTCAAATTGTAAGCTTCAAGGTCAGTACGCTTGTCGGAATCGCCATAGCCGAGACAATCTGGGGCAATGACTCCATAGCCTGCTTCTGAAAGGTCCTTGAATTGATATCGCCAGTCATAGCGCGATGACGGGCAACCGTGGATGAAGAGAAATGTTTCTCTTTTGTCTTTGGCGGGGATGTAGTCATAAGCATAAGTATCGCCGTCGCTAGTGGTGAATCGCTTGTCAAAATTGCCCATGGTTGAAATGAAGTAAGCGTCAGCAATGAAATTTGCGAATCAGAGGCGGAACGCTAATTTAACTGTGATTGTTTGAACCACTTTGTCTGAGTCGAGGAAACGAGCGCTGAAAGTCGGAGCTATAAAAGCTATGCGTGGCTATTCGCTAAAGCTCAGTGAGATGGTGCCTATTACTCCCACTGTCAAGGGTTACTCATTCGCCCCACCGTCAGATATTAGCCCCTACGGGTGTTTCGGACAGCGCATCACAGCAGTCACGAAATCTTCCCTAGCAAAGTAGGCAGCGCTGATAATTTTACCTCGTAATCCAGTCCGGTCATCAACATCATAGATCTTCGCGATATGGCATCGACATTGGATGCCGTTACTCCCAAAATGCCTGCAGCACCAATGGACCACGAAGAAGCTCTTCAAAGCACTGGGGAAAGGTGAGACGCAAAGTCCGAGCATGCTTCATATAGGTACTGACCGATATCACTTGCCAGTGATAAGCCCTCAGATATCAAAGCCAAAGAAGATGGCATAGACTTCTGGACGAAACACACGAAACCGGTTCTCACATCTCTTCTGAAATCCGTTGGAGATTACACTCCTGAACAACAAGCTGCTCATCTTGGGTTCCTTGACAACTATATTATCCCGACCATGGGGCGTGCGCCTGAGAAGGACCGCGCAAGATCACTCCTGACCCCAAATGGCTCACCATTCGAAACTAGCCTCAACAATAGTGACAGTGGCAAGTTATACGTGCGATTCTGTTACGAACCCGTGTTTCCAGGCTCAGATGGTGTCACTGAAGACCCCATCCCGAGGATTGCCGAGAAGACGGGTGCTGATCTCCGCTGGTTCAATCAATTTGCCGCTGAGTTCTATCCATCTAAGGAAGATGCTGTAATTTTAGCGGAGAAGATGCCGAAGGACACTATCCGCATCCCTAAGGTGTTTCTTGCGTTTGATCTCAAGGAGGACAAGCAAACTATGAAGGCATATTTCTATCCTGTTATCAAGTGGATGACAGCAAAGCAAAACTCGGATAGGGCTGGATTTGACCTCATCCGACGGCTTGATCCCCTTGGTCCTTCATTTGGGCCAGCTATTGACATGATCGAGCGGTACCAAAGCAAGCTGTATCAAGACCCACCGCTAACTGTCGTTATTGGTATCGACTGCGTAAGTCCCGAAGAAGGCGCCAGAGTCAAGATCTACATCGAGCCCCAGTCCAACACCTGGGAAGCGGTTGTACAGCACGTCACCCTTGGAGGCCAAGTAACAGACATAACGACAATGGAAGGTCTAGCTATCCTTCGCGATATGTGGCATATCCTTATTAACGAACCAGAGGACAAGGAATTTGATGAGAAGTTCTCAAAGAAGATACTGGAAGACAAACCTGATGTTAGCGGAGCGTGCTTTAGCTGGGAGCTCAAGCCTGGCCAGGACATCCCCGAGGTCAAGATTTATGTCCCTCTAAATCAATACTTCAAGAATGACAAGGATGCTGCGGAGGCCATGGAGATGGTCTTTCGGAAGAGAGGATGGGCTTGGGGTATAGAGGGCACATATAAGAAGATTGTGTCGGATGCATAGTAAGTAAATACTGATCAAGAAGGCCATGTAACTAACAACTGTAGTGGGAGCGATGTTGTCGACGATACGGTCACGACACCAACTGAGCATACATTTGTCTCATTTAACTTCTCCCAGAAGAAGGGGGTATACATGACAACGTATGTGGCACCATTTGTGAGGTTTCCTTAAATAGGCTTTACAATGATGGAGAATCGTAGTTAGTAATAAATACATGGTATTAATGTCTTGCAACATCGTTTTTAAATTTACAATTATGAAATGTCCCTGTAATAGGGTGTATTGCCCTTCAAGCAGAATCGCTTGGACCTTTCGTTCTCTTCTTAACCTCTACAATTTCTATATCCGGTGTAATGGGCGCGTCGATCTGCGAGGTAAACTTCTCGGTAGGATCGCGAAGAAAGAAACCGGCTAAGATGATAGATTAGCAACCAAATTCTCCTTGATATTCACTTGTAATTGGTATCTACTCACCGATGCTAGCGATGAGACACAGACTCGCAGTAGTCAACCAGACACCGCGAAAGCTTACGCGGTAAGCTTCCAGAAGACCATCAACACCAGCGCGAATTATTTCTGGAGAAATGCCGTTGATTTGTTTGAGCGCCACTGTATCGTTATGGGCAAGGGCGGGTATGAGTTGAGGCAGCTCCTTTTCGGGAAAACCGAGTGGCAAGACGGAATGAGCTATCTTGGGTGCCATGTTGGATGAGAGTCCGCGAGAGAAGATGGCATTGAAGACAGCTAACCCAATGGATCCCCCCAAACTTCTGATAGAGATCATGAGACCGGATGTGATCGCGATCAGTTCTCGAGGTGTTGCGAAATGAGCTACTGTAATCAGCGCTGGCATGCAAACACCCAATCCGAGACCTAGAGTTATGGGGTATATCCAGAGAAGGGCTTGAGGTGTAGACTTGGACACAGTAGCCATGAGGATCATGAAGAGGATCTTGAAGCCAAAGGCCAGGATAATCGGGAAGCGCAAAGCCTTACTCATAGAACACCATATACCGCTCACGATGGCAGAAATACCCAGAGCTATGAAGGCCATGCTGTACTGGGCCCCAATGACAAGACTATCAGTTGAGAAGAGGACACTGACTTCAAAAGCGAAATAGTTGTTGCCACAGTGGAACGCCATGCCCTCAGCGAAGATGCAACCCAAAGCGAGTGCAAAGTTTCGATCGCGAAAGAGACGATGGTGAAACATACCGTTCTTTTTGATCAAGGTCTCATAGACGACAAGGGCCACCCCTGAAAGCACGCCAATGAGAAATGTGGCCAGCACATGGGCATCAGTCCATGAGTATGGGTTCCCGCTCCAAGCGAGAGACATGCAGAAGAGAACAAGCGCAGGAGTCAAGAAGCCGTACCCGACCCAGTCCAGGTACCGCATTTTTTCTGATACGCTGAGAACAATTTCCAAGGCTCTTGGAGGCGGATTGTAAAAGAGTTGACACGCGACTGTCGCAACTGCATATATGCCTGCGACCATGTACCAGTAAGCCCGGAAGCCATCATGATGCTCATGTCTAGTCAACACGCCACCGATCAAAAGGCCGACAATTGCCCCAAGGGAAGCCGCAACATTAATGCTTCCCTGTGCCCAAGGACGATACTTGCGAGCGACGACCTCGGAGGAAATGGCATGAAGAAGCGGTTGTGCACCGAACGAGATGCCCGAAACGGCGAACCCGGCGATGACCGTGCCGGAAGATGAAGCTTTAGCGATAATGAGAGAACCGATAAAGCCGCAACTTGTTAAGAAAACGAGTATCCTCTTGCGACCCCAGAGATCGGCGGCTTGAGAAGCTGGAATGCCGAGAAGAGCTGTCAAGATTGCGATGACTTCACTATACCAGACTGAGTCATTGGAGCCACCAACAACGGCGGAGATGTCTCTGGTCAAGGCACCGGATCCAACGACATTGGAAACTTGGACAAAGTAGACCAGGTTGATTGACTGGAAGTAACTCATCAGATCAGGATCGTGAAAGAGGATAAAAATAGCACTTACAAGTAGTAAAAGCAAACCCTTCATAGACACTTTAGTATTCTCCTTAGCTTCAACAGTCCTTTCGCTGTACTCGCACGAAGATCTATCAGACATGATTAAAAGAGTGTATAGGTCAGAATGAATGTCGTGAAGGAAATCAAGCCCCGAAATCTTTCTGGAAACCCGTCTTAGTAGTTATAAGCCACGAGACACGGCATGTAAGGTCCTGCGCATTGACGTCGTATTTCCATCTTGAACCTTATTTTGGTGCACTAAACTTAGTCTCATGGTGTTGATGTTTCGAACAGAAAAGGTCATGGCGCAAAATTGCCTATCGCGTTATGCCTTCTAGCGCGAACGGGCGTAGTCTTCGCGACGATAAGCAGCGCGCTTTGACAGTCGAACTGGAAGGGTGGCCTCTGTTTTAAATTGACCAGCTTTAACTCTCTTTTGTTGATGCAGTACGACGCAGACTTTATCGACTCAAGCATGAAATGAGGGAGATGACTGTTAGATTTTGTTTTGGTCTCAACCGAGCAGTCGCATTTCTCATCATCAACAATCGGAATTTATCTGGACATCAAGGGCATGAACAGCACTGATTAGAAAGGTGCTTGGACTCTATTTGAGCTATCTCGTATTGCAAACACACTTTACTGGCTTCCTTTGAAAATCTTGGAAAAGTCATACTCATTCCAGTACATGGTCGGCTTCAAGCCCGCCAACTTCCATTCCCCATCAACCTTTACATAAGTATGTTGCATAACGGCATGGCCGTGGCCCTTGGCCTCAACAGTCTTTTTATCGGGTCCTGTGTATCGCTGGTGTGCAGCTCGAAGCTGATGAGTACCAATTATGCGGCCATCGGAGAGAGCTTCGTATTTGGAAGCACCGATGAAATGCTGGCTGACAACAAGAGGGTCGCCGACAAATCCTGGGTCTGAGACCATGGCGACAAAGTCTTTGGCTGACATGGCATCCCACTTTTCACCCGTTATGACGGTGTAGTCGACCTTGAGGATATCGTATTAGCAGGTTTCAAGTTTGAGTGTTCTTTCGGGAACTCGTACAACCAGTTCCGGGGCGATGATGCTGGCTAAACGATCCCAGTCCTGCGAGTCTGTTAGATGAGTTTGGTCTTGCCCTTGGAATGACTATACAAACTTTTGCGTCGAGACTGTCTCCCCAGTCAAATGTAATTGCAGCAACCTGGAAGGCATCTATTTTACAATGTTTGTTACCAATGTTTGGTCGGAACGAAAGGTAGCCGATGGTTTGAGGGTCACTAACCAGCAGGATCGACTCTTGAAGCAACCATGGCGCCGATATGAGTAACTAAAGATGCGATTGATTATCAGGTATCTATCTGAAGCAGGGGATAATGATCTTGATCGGTTTAAGGACAAATCTGGAGAGTTATTAGAAGCCGATGAGAGAAATAATCATTATTATGAATTACGGAACTTCCGATCTCATTCCGTCCGTATCCCGATGGCGGATCTCCCCCGCCGCTAACTAAAATTGGTCAAGTCTATCAACCAACCTTGTGTATCCTGGCATGGGGAGAACGGCTTGCAGCTGGCTTGAATACACATCAGTAACTGCCGAGAACCTTGATACCAGCTCGGCAGATCCGGCAGTGTAAGAGCGGAGAAGTCGAGTAAGGTCATTTCCAAATCAGAGGTATTTTATAAAATGGCCTGTAGGTGCACTGCGATATTTATTACTTCCGTATCTTCTAGATCATAGTGCTAGACGACATAACCCGCCCTGAATACGAAACGATGCCAACTACTCACCTACCCTTCAAACCCCAGAAGATTCAGGAACAATTCCCTGATGCCATTATATCCAAAATCACCCCTGCACCCGAGCATCCCCGTTACAATTACAACGGCTTCAAACCAGGTCGTCGAGTACTGGAAGCAGGTCATGTCCGCTATCCGGGTCGCAGGCCATTCGGCGTACGAACAATATATGAGCGAGACCAAGCCATCACGGTTCGCGACGGCGCTCGCCTATACGCAGATATCTTCCGCCCCGAATCATCAGATGCACAGTCCGTCCCGTGTATCCTTCCATGGAGTCCATATGGTAAAACTGGTACGGGTCCTCAGAACTACGACTTCATGGCTCCTTATCGAGCGGGAATCGCGCTTGGTCGCACATCAGGCTATGAAAAGTTCGAGGCTCCTGATCCTTACGAGTGGGCTGAGCGTGGCTACGTTGTGTTGAACATCGATGCTCGTGGTGCTGGGCATAGTGAAGGAGTTATCGCACGCTGGGGCATTCAAGAAGCAGAAGACATCTACGACGTCATCGACTGGCTGTCTAAACAGCCTTGGTGCAACGGCTCTGTCGCTATGGCAGGAAATTCATGGTTGGCTATATCGCAGATCAACTTTGCTTCCAGAATGCACCATCCCGCACTGAAAGCGATTGCACCATGGGAAGGTTATACGGATCTGTATCGTCACTATGTTGCCAGAGGCGGACGTCCCCATATTCCTGGCTTTCACCGGATGATCTCGAACGGGCTTGCGGGGCCTGAAGGCGTTGAGAATGTTGTTGCCGTGCTTGAGAAACATACGTTGTACGACGACTACTGGGAGGCCAAGAGAATTCCTGTTGAGAACATCGACAATATTCCTATGTACATTGTTGCTTCGTACTCAAGCATGTTGCACACGTATGGTTCGTTTCAGACTTTCCGACAAGCCAAGACAGAAAAGAAGTGGCTTCGTGTTCATCCGTATCAAGAGTGTAAGGGATGCTCATTTCTTTAGTCCTTCCCATGACACTGCGTGGTATGAGTCTATACTCGTGGTTGAACATCGCTGATCCGTTGTTCCATAAGGGTACGACATGTATCGACCATCTGTTTCAGATGATCTTCAGCAGTTTTTCGACTTCTATTGCAAGCCTGACATTATCAAAGACACAAACTGGGAATCCTCAACGCCTCGAGTCCGGCTTTCACTTCTTGGTTTTGAGGCAGAGGGGAGCTCCGCCACAACTATTATCGAGAGGCCTGAGCAGAGTTATCCACTTACAAGACAAAGGCTTCGAACTCTATATCTTGATGGAGCAACCGGAAAGCTGGTGGATCTGAGGCCAGATCAGGAATGCATTCAGTCCTATGAAGGGAGGAGTTTGGGTGATGGGCTCGTGAGTTTTGTCATCTCGAAAAAATACGCAGGGACTTACCAAATCTTAGACATTCACAACTACCTTTGACGTCGCAACTGAGCTGGCTGGTTACCCAAAGGCAGTGCTACACATGTCATGTCCTGACCATGATGATTTCGACGTCGTTGTGCAGATCCGCAAGATCGACAACAAAGGTCGACAGCTCTCGCATCTCAACTACCCTTGCCCTGTTGCTATTGATGAGGTACCCGATGTAAACACAGCAAAAACTTTAGGTCCGCAGGGCTTCCTTCGAGCTTCACATCACGTCTCTCTGAATGGAGATGGCGGGCCCGTTGTTTCCAATGATCTGTCGCGTGAGACAGATATTTTGTACAGCCACCGTGTTCGACAGCCTATTAGTCCGGGGACAATTGTCCGCCTAGAGATCCCAATCTGGCCTATTGGGATGGTGTTTGCTGCTGGAGAGGGCATAGCGTTGAACGTTTCTGGACATGATATGTGCCTGCCTGAGACTGACTTGTGTCGATTGAGAGAACCAGAGGATGAGAATGTCGGGAGACACCATGTTCACACAGGAGGGAAGTACGACAGCCATTTGATCATTCCTGTCATCATGGGGTAGTGCAGTCAGCTTCAGCTACGAACGAAAGAGCTGCGACATCGCGGTCTCGTCAATTAGGTGTGATTAGGACCCCGTCCCTTGGAACGACTCAACAGAATAAGAGCACAGATAGCAGTGGAGTTCACAATGTTTACAATTCTTCCTCACTACCAAGGCAAGCCTCAGAAAGTAACGAAAAAAGAAGCCTGTCAGACGTCCATCAATGCCCGCCCCAGGAACGCGCCCGAAGACAGACCGCTCCAAGGGCCGAGATCATCAAGAGTAACATCTCTCTATACAGCAGCCGCTCGAAAGAGCAACCACCGCCATCCTTGCGGACAGATCGAGAGGACCAGAAAAGGTTATTCACTCTAGGGCATCGAGGATATTCATTCATCAACCAGGGTGGGATCTGTGGCTCTTTTAGGGAACCAAGAGAAGGTCGAATACTATAGAAATGATTCTCTGAAGTATTGTCGACATGAAGAAGAAAAGAAGAAAAGTCCAAATGGTCGGCGGCAGAGCAGACTTTTATAGAGAGCTGCTGTGGATACAGTGACTAAGCGGTTTGTTTACCGAGTGCAGAGATTTTTTACTGGGCTCGGCGAGATTGAGATGAGGCTGACTAGCCAACGTGCACGGTGATGAAAACTCTTTTTCCTTCATAAAGGATGCCTCTCATTGGGTAATGTGCTTCTTCTTGCTGTTTTATTTGCCGTTGTCATTTTGTTTTTCTGAGCTCTGTGGCTGTTCATCATTTTAATTCGCCAGTCAAGATGGGGATCTCGTTTTTCCTCTCCGCTACTGGAAATGTTCTCAGTGTCTGGTTCTCCACTTTCAAACATTCTGGCTCTTTGTGTAGGGTATCCAAAGCAAATGACTTAACTAGACACCTAAGTAATACTTCTTTCGTCTACTAAATAGTGAATATATATTAAAGAAGGCCCCTTAAATAAGGATGCCCAGTGCAGGAGAGAGAAAGGATTACGAGGAGCTTTGTAATGCGTTAATCACCATAATCGCATCACTTGATGTGTTCAGATTCCCATGTTTTGTTCTAGTAGCGTTATATTACCAGTATAGAAGCGTCTAAACAGGCTGTGGCTCTAGCGAGTCAATCTCTCAACCATTTGTCTCATATTATTGTTCCGTAACTGTGAGATGATAACTTCTTAATCTAAGCGTACAGCAGTCAGTTAAGACCCTGACTCTACTTCAGAGTAAATCGTCGCAAGCTCAAGGATGCTTGTGCTTGTGACCTCCATTCCGACACGGCCTCTCCGAACATATATCCAGCCACATAGCACTCCCCGACAAAGTAAAACGTGTCATCGCTCAATGGTCGTAGAATATAGGGAACCGGGCCTCCAGCAACAACACATACTAAATCGCCTTTCCTAAGAAGATTAGGTCCAATTCCTAGCAAACAGTTCGTCGCTCTGAATATCTGTCGGTCGCAGCAGACGTTTTTCACAGCCTGTTCGTACCTAACAGCCTCTTCATCACAAGGCTTTGCGTTTCTGAAGTAATCCCGACTCCACTTCATAAAAGATGCAACATGCTCATTTATCATATTCTGCTCCTTCAGAATGTTACCGTACCAATCCTGTCCAGCTGTCAAGACGAGAGACAACCGAGCCTCTATCCTATTATGGGTACGCACATGCACGTTCAGCCAGTGGTTCAGCTCGGTCTTGTGTTTTTTGTATTTCTTATGACGGGATAGGCGGTCCTTCGTGTTTGCTGTAGGAAGCACTCGGTGAGCAGATGTTATAGATGCGAGGACAAACCCCTGGAGAATCAAACACCGCTCGCTTTGACTCCAGATAAGCTTTGCAGGAGGATTTGGTTTCCAACCAGCTGACGCATCAAACTTCATACTAGCCCTATGAGAGATACCAATGCTCCTAATTGGTCTCATATGCCAACGTGGAATCCATGTTGGAAAGTCGGGGTAAAATAGAGTTGTATGCCGGACTGCAGAAAGGATTTCGAGCGGATTATCATGCGTGTGATAAACCCAGTAGAAGACGCGACTGTATAACCCATCTGGAAGTAGGCGATAATCCGGAGGTATAGACTTGCGCCCTGGCCCCGTATGTTGACTAGGGAGGCCCAAGATGGCGTATATTCGATCCAAACGCTCTGAAACGTCGAAATTTCTCGTTAGTCGAAGGACATCCAAAAACGACATTGAGTCGCCTCGAAACTGAGTTGAAGACATTCGGTACATGAGATAAGCGTTCATCAGACCAGTGCGAGCGTCTAAGCCTCCTTGGAAAGGGCCTGGAGACTTTTTTGACTTGTTGATGCGATCAAATATCGTCATCAAACTTTTGTTGTTCCTGATCAGGGTCGTTGCGAGCCCTAACAAAGTCCAGGATATCTCGGCCTTTCCCCATCGAATAACCGCACGGCGGGAGGAGACTAACTCTTGAACCACCCATAATCGCTTCCAGTAGCCACTCTGAAACACCTCAACGATTCTGCACATAGAAGCCTCGTTCATAACACAGCCATAAATGTTATCGGGTGTCGACGAGGACATATTGTTTCGACCAAGGGTTTTCCGAGCTTCAAACCATGCTGAGGCCAAAGCTTTGATAGCATTGAAGCACATACTCGCACGGATATAGTCCTTGCCAACAAACCCAATGACTCTGAATGCTTGAGAGTAGATTCTTTGCATTATACTGACTTGCTGAAGACGTTCCGCGTGGTCAGATTGGTTAATACACAGTGCATCGGCCCACACAACCCGAATGTGTTGCTCGAGCCGAAGATGCAGCAGAATACGTCGAAGATATGCGTTGATAGATATTTTCTCACCTCCAAGACGCATACATGCTTTCTGGCCACCGCCCTCACTCCACTGATAAGAAATTGCCTCAAATCGAATGTTTGCTGCGTTCAGATCCAGGAGTTCGAACGAGGCCACCAGAGTGTCCTCATTCACTCCAGGCTGGATGAAAAGTACGCGAATGTGTGAGGGAGAAGGTAGCGGGGCATATATATGCGGCTGGAAGAATGTACCTTGAAGACGCTGACCTAGCCACCCCAATAACCCGGGATTGTGGGGGACATTAACAAGCTGCGAAGTTGTGTCAAAGGTCGCTCCATAGTTTTGTCCTGGGTGGGGCATGCTTAAATGATCGCGAGACATATCACGGCAAACGCTTGCTTCCAAAGCCCGTACAGCATTGGATACTTGGTTTGCAGGTGACGGGGCTGTGTTTGTCTCCGAGCAAGTATCATCAGTACCAAGGTCCAAGTTATTCTCCGTGTCTGGAACCAGCATTAGACGACATTCAGCGAAAAGGCACAGGAATAGGCATGACATACCGGCAGTCTGGACATTGGGTTGGTCAGTAGTCCCATTAGTGACGGAAGTCTGGGCAATGGCACCAGCGATATTGACGCCAGCGAAGAACAGCACTGTGGTCCATTAATTTCCCCATATTATGTGAGTTTAAACAGATTTATACACACAGCTGAGAGCACTTTCTGTTCCCTCAAGGAATACAGACTCAGAAACTCGATTGCCATCATGACCATCAGAGAAATGATCATCTATTTCGTCGAAGCCCGCGTCGTCGTCTCCCTCGGATTCGCTGATAATGCTTTCGATATCCGACTCGTCGGAGGAGGCTGTGACGCCACTGTCTGAGTCATCTGAACTTGACATTTTGGTTGCGGCGTATCTTGGGATGGCTGATAAAGATCAGGCGACAATTTGACTTGTTCTATAGGCAGAGTTCTTTCTCATCTTGTTAAGATTTCAGAGGAAGCGGGGAAGTCATTTCTTATCTCATTTTTTGACTTATTAGCTGTAGCCTATAACGCCACTTTCTGCCTCGCGGTGGTTCGCAAATGAGGCTGGCATGGCAGCATAAGGTCAGTCGAGAACAAGAGAGCAAAATCGGCGTTATTTCAATTAAGATTTGTGTTTGTCTTGCCCATAGACTTCGTTCGACGGGGCATCAAGGTTTACTTTAGGGCAATTTCAGAAAGCGTAACTTTATTGAGCGCACACCTTCGCAAACCTATAAAAGCGGCCATCCCTCTGCCCGCCCATCTATTCATCTAACCTCCAGGCAATAGTAACAAAAAGTCTTCGCTGCATCCTCAAGCCTTGGAAAGTATGGATTGCTTCTCTTCTCTTCCATCCGAGATCAATGTGATCATCCTGCTTTGCCTCAGGACCAGATCAAACATTAGACCGCTTCTCTCTGCATCACCTGCAATGTTCCAACACTATTACAAATCGAAAGAGTACATTCAGCAGGCTCACCTTGAAGCTGAGCTTCCTGGATCTCTACTCCAAGACGCTCTGGTCGTTGCAAATTTCCCCTCGAAGAACCGACGGTTGCACATTGAGAAATGGAGTGAAGGGCAGCTTCCAAACCCATTCCTAAACCACGATTCAGCTACCATCGATCGACTTGACAGACTCTACACTCAACTCGCGATATACATTGAGGACTATATCACGAAGGCCACATCGATCTCTCCGCCTCGAGCTTATATGTGTACTCCAAGCCCTTGCTCCGATGTCGACCAGCTGCAGTTCACAGGCCAGCCCATTGGGATCGATATCCTCAGGGTTGAGACGCTCAGAGATGTTGAAAGAAATCGCCTATTCCGAGCATTCTTTAGATATGAACTGGTATCTAAAATACGCTGTCTCCAGGACCGCATCGAGCTCGAGCTCATTGACGAGCTAGTTGCCCCAATTTTCGAGAACTTCAGCCACGGCGAGGCTGAAGCACTTCGGTGCGTTCGCCATTATATGAAAAAGCTTTATGGCGTTGTTCTCGCTTACTATTCCAATCCTCAACTTCACAACACACCAGCCTTAACAGCCGCGGTAACAGGCAAACTTAATCCCAATTGTGGATCACTGTTCCCTAATAAAATGTGGATTTCATCCGAGGAGATTTCGGAATATTTATTTCAGGAATCAAAACCGCATCATGAATTTCTTGGATTTGATCTGATGACTCGGCTGCTTAGCGTTCCTCGAGACGACAAGGGATGTCCGATGCGGTTGTTTGCTGAGATACCCATGCACCTAAAGCAATTGGATAGGACTAGTGTTATGTCAATGTCTCATATTTTCGACGAAGGGGGTTATTATCTGCTAAATAACAGACGCTGGGACGAATGGTCAGAGATCGGTCAAGCCCTCCGGGATAATGGTAGCATCGCATTCACTTATGGGAGGGACCTTTGTGATTTCGAGTCTCGCCTACAGAAGGGAATTTACCGACAGAGAGCATGGGCATTTTTCGACCACGCTGGCTATTATCCGGAAGGGAATATATCTCGACATTTTCCAACCCTGCGTCAGCTTGAAGATGAGGACTTACTTAGAAGCTGGGCATAAGCCAGAGGGAGAGTCCACCAAGTTTATCATCAACCACCACAAGTTTGTCCATATGGAGCACCGAAAGATCAAAAGCTTTGTTTACGAGGCCTCTCTTCACCAAGAATCCTACTGCGAACTATATAGTAGCCATTATTGGCCTTTAGAGCTTTGAAATACAGCATGTAGAGTCTTTTTTATCCTCTCCCGTATAAAGCACACTCTTATTTTTCTCCTGCGTCGAAGGCGCGACATCCAACCCCGGATTTCCAGAGAAGAAGTTCACGGGCTTCAAGCCAACCATCATCTTCTCACTCGGCATGACAGGCCAATCCTCAATACGCGGGTTATGAGTGGAGCCGAAAGTATGCCAAATGACAATATCCTCGTTCCTCACGGAATGGGCAACTCCGGTGTTTCGGCGCCTCGCTATTACAGATGCCAAGCCGTCGCCTCCGGCTGATTGCATCGTGTATTTACCCGCAGGGAAATGATCGTTGTCTTCATACCTGGTTACCCACACCGCATGCTCCGCAAACTCCGAGCGCTTGGCATGGAAGGATTCAGGGTGCGCGAGAAGCATCTGGCTGTAGAAGGGCATGAGCTTGAAGCCGACTGGGGTACCGGTGATGGGGTTGATTTTGTTCTCGTTGACGAATTTAAAGGTGCGCGCTTTGGTGAAGTCAAGATCAAAACCGCCTTCTTCTTCGACGGTCTGACTCTCTGTCACATAGCCTACGCCAAAAGGATTATGAATGGCAGGATCATCAATGGGAAGTGGCTTGGACTCTTCGACCACGAGTGAGTTGGCATGCCCGTCAATTGCAGGGTCAATGCGAAGACTGAAAAGATGCTGGTGATATGGTGCAAGAACTCCGGGCGCCACGATATTTCCATAAGGATATGTTCCCTTGTGATCCATGGAGGTTGGTGCTGTGGAGAGAATGCCCGTTGCCCGAACCTCGTAGAAGATGGAAGCATCTTGACTGAAGTGCCAGGCGAAGATGTACTCGTAGTTGGTAACAGTGATTATAGTCTGCAGGACCAGAATTCGAGAACGAGTTACGACCGGAACATTCGTGCGGAAGTTGGTATGCTTCCACAGAATTCCATCATCCTGTTCGTGGCAGCAGACGACATTCGGTAGCTTCAGAGGCTCCCCGGATGATGTATTGTGATAGGCATCGAAGTACTTGATCGTTCCAAGGCAATCGCAACCAAGCTGGAGGTTATTCGCATTGATACCAGCTCCATCATTACCAAGGTCGAACGCAGCCTTTCGTGGGTATGGAGCTCGTGGATCACCATACGGTACGAACATCTCAGCCAAAGAAAGGCGATAGAATAGGCATCGCCCATCATATCGAACGTCGTGAAGAGTGAGGCCCTCTCGGTAGTTGAAGCCAACTCGGAGATCCCATTTCTCCCAGGTCAGACGATTGCCTTCGATGTGGAATGAAGGACCTTCAGGCTGAGTTACATGTAGTGGCTTGGTAGTACTTCTGGGGCTTGGTCGCAAATCGGGATGGTATTCGCTGTTAGTAGGAGAGTGAATTCTTCGGCGATCGAATGGTCTTTTCTCGTTGTTCGCTCTTTCGTCTGGTGTTGTTGGTAGACGGTAAACCTTCATGACTCCAAGAGATTCGGATACCTCGGCGCATACATCCAAAGGATAAGCGTAATAGTTCGCGTTGGGGTTCTCTAATAGCCGTGCATAGAACCAACACTGATAGGGCTTAGTATATCAAGCCCCCTCGAAGCGAAGGGAAGCTTACCATGCTGACTCGATGGGTCATATCATTCATCCCGTCTGTCGCATAAGCCCACGGTTCAACGACAACAGTCGCCCCTTCAGGCAGATCAAGCGTCTTAATCAGAGCCTGGACCTCTTCATTGGCAAGACAAGCAGCCTCGACAGCTTTCATGTAATCAGTATCGATGTAAGAATGCTTCCCTTCAACGTGCTGCTTCTTGACAACTTTGTCCGCGTCAAGATCGACGATAAGCTCAAAAAGGTGATTCCCTTCGGTCTCGGCTTTGATAGAAGCCTCCACACGGGCATGGCGAGTTGGTACATGGCCGATGGGTTGATTGAGATGCTCCTTTTCGAGATACGTGATCATTTCCTTCTTGGCGGGCTCGAGAAGAGTGATGACGCGGAAGTTGGGGTCATGACCGCCAAAGTGGGGGCGCACGATGCGTGAAGCCTAGATATCTCAGCTTATCGTTGCTGAGATTGAGGATAATTCATTCATGATTGACTGACCCTCGAAATCTCCTCGGGCGACAGAGGGTCAAACGGATGAGGCGATGCAGCAGTCATTGTTGCGGTGTCGATCGTCTACGAGGCCTAAATATGATGTCGGTGTGACTTGGTATGAACACGAAATATCACGAAAGACTCCCAATTTTATATATGAACAGAAGAGAGTTGGCAAAGTGCGGTGGCCGATGACGTTGCGCCTTCTAATGACATCGACGATGCAAGATAAACTTCACGACCGGCCCGGTTGGTGTTTTTTGACTTTTGTTCCTGATAATCTCACCAAAAGCCCCAATGTATTGCCTAAGAGAGGGGAAGCGTCACCAAAGCCTTGCCTTTGGAGGTTATAAAACGCGGCTCCCCTCTTGCCTCCAAAGGTAACGCGTCGCGCTAGCCATTGTCATGTGTAGCTCTTTTTGCTGATCGAGCCTCGAAAGGAAATATCGGTTCCGGCCCGGAACCGACAGCTTATCTGTGTAACGGCCCGGTATCTTATCACGGATCTTTCATGAAGTTTTAGTTGGTCGCTCTGACTCATTCGTCGACATGTGATAGAATGTTGGTAAATGCTGGTCCGGTCGCAACACCGACTAGATCTCACGAAGCGCGTTCAAAAAAGCGCCTAGCAAAGCCGGCTGCCGTGCATAAAAGACTGAGACATAAGCTGAAAGGCTTAAGAATGGCTTCTCGAAATTTGCGTTCAGGAATTCGTATTAAAATTAGAACGTTGCACAAATTCAGCCTCGCTCGTGAGACCCAACTTCATTTCCAGTCCTGGCGCCACGTTGTACAATATAAGCATTTCGCCAAGCCATCACTCAAGATCCCGTACCCATTTTTGGGGCTCATACGATAACTTAACCTTGATGAAAAGCATCTTGCTCCTAAACGTTATAATCTGGGGCAGATAAGCGGATTCCGCGATAGTGGACCTTCGATTTCGAGGGACGTGCTATGGAGTATAAGTGACCATCCCGCCAGTTCATCGCCCTTTCTCGCATGAGCTTAGACAGTCAAGATGGTAAGGTACCTCAGGCAACTGCCAATGATGATGCCCGGGGGCTGTGTTGATATTAGGGGTTATTGCCAAGCAAATGCATGTAACCTTTGGCTTGTTGAGAAATGCATGTCTCACGTACCAAGATATTCTCTAGACTGAGGTAAGCGCCCGACAATTGGCTCACCGTAACTCCGAATCCTGGATCATCACATCCGAAGGGGAATCGCATGGATCAAGATTTCCATGTCGACAACTGTAACCCCAGACCATGCCCCGGAAATGGTGAATGAACCGTCCGGCGGCGATGGGGTCTAAAAACGCCGGTAACCGAAGACATGGATGGCAAAGACCAATACTTTGGCCAATCAGAATTGACACAAAGAAAGTGAGCGTGTTGGCTGTCAGGTGGCTAGCTGGTGGTTGAACAGCTTCGAGGAAGTTCTATGCTATTTCCATGAGCGTCACGAGTGAATCGTTGAACCCTTGATCGACAATTAAGAGAAAACTGTTGACTTTGATGGCAAATCCTGTATTTCTATTATAGATAATATTAACAAATTTAATTTGTTGGTGTATAGCAATGATCTACTAAGGTGACATCTGTCAAATCTGCAATGCTGCGAATCTCACAGCTTGACAACCAAGCATCATCAACGTCTGGGCGCATTGCATTACGAAACAACCCCAACAATTCAATCAGATTTGATTTGCTCCGCTCGTCCGGGATCAAGATCTGTCCAAAACCTCGGTAACAAAGTCTTGAAAGATGAGCGCCTCTCTCTTGGCTTCCAAGACAAACCCCAACTCTGATGCTGTAATGAAGGTCTGGGCAGAGCGACCGACGGTGCTGTACAAGAAAATTAAGGCTCAATTTAGGGCTCGTTTAGCGTCTCGGGCATTGATTGCCGTATGCGGAGAAAGGCCAGAAACGTGATCGGAGAATTGCCACCCGAGCCTTGTTTTAGCCCGCCCTATGAGGAGTCAGATCTTGTAGCTCTTACATACAACAAAGATAAACTCATTAGCTAAAATGCTACCGAGACAGAGACCAGGGATCGGAGAAGTGAAAGAATCTAAGCCACGCGGGTTCCACGTGTCATCTAAAGGCTAAAAGCATCAGCGTGCATCGTTAGGACATGTCGAGAGGGCGACGGTGAGGGGAAGGGGAATATCACATCCTTCCCAGCACGTGGAGGCAAAGATTGTCATTCTTGGAAGAGATGTCATCACTGACACAGCAGAGACTTTGGATGCATATAACCGCCAAGTTTTATCGAGCATCTTGCCTAAATAAGAGTGCATTCCATTTGACCGAGTCATTGCAGCCAAGAGCAACAAACAGCATCGACGAACCAACCAAGCCTACTCGCCAAGATTGGGATGCGTTAATATGACTTCCTCATACAAGATGCCAAGTTCCGCCAAGTCGCTGGGGTGATGCTCACCTGATAACGAGCTCCAATGCTTTATGTTTTGTGTGGGTATCAGATTCATATTCGTTCCCACCCACTAACACCTTGGCTATTGCTTGGCGAAATTGGTATTCCCGTCGTAACAGGATTTACTCCGCGTGCTCCGCAAAAGCTTAGCCCCCCCTATTGCATCCCTCTTCTTTTCCCCAGCTTTCGACTCTTGTCTCCCCCAAAGACCACAGACCATGACTGCTTCTTCTTGGCGGTCTGGGGTCTCCAGGATCCTCCTTTGGACCGGGTTTCCTTCGTAATCTGGATTAGAATGTCTGGGCATTGATACCCCGCGCGGTCTTTGCTGCAACCATTACATTATGACACACGCGTCTGCTTATAAAAAAGGAGCCCGATGTCCCAGTCGCGTGGTCTCGCTCTGCACCTGCATCTTCTCTTCTTCCAGACCCCTTCCTCGCCAATTCTTCTTCTCCAGCTTTTCTGTCTCATCTCTTCACCATGTCGATCGGTTCCAGTGATCGACACTCTCCTTCCAAGGAGGAGGAGGGTGGCATTGCTACTCAGAGCGATGGTCCCACCAACGAGCGATCTGTCCCTTATGTTAGTGAGCAGACCGAGAAGCGTATTCTGAGGAAGCTTGATCGACGTATCATTCCTTGTGTCTGCTGGATCTACCTCATGAACTTTATGGATCGAGGTGAGTCTGATCTGAAACATCCAGCCATAGCGATACTGACAATTCGATATAGTTAGTATCGGTAATGCTCGTCTCTACGGTCTCGAGGAGGAGCTTGGTCTCACAAGAGATCAATTCCAAATCTGTGTCTCGATTCTCTTTGTTACCTATTGTGTAAGTCGCAGCAATGCTATATGCGTCTCCCGTGACAGGCCACTGACTTGCTCTTAGCTGTTTGAAACTCCTTCCAATCTTATCATCAAGAAGCTGCAGCCTGCCCGATACATTGCCGGTCTCGTCTTCTTCTGGGGCATTGTGGCCATTTGCACCGGCTTCGTCAACAACTTTGGCTCAATGGTTGCTTGCCGTCTGCTGCTCGGTTTCTTTGAGGCTGGTCTTTTCCCTGGCATCATGTGAGTGCTGGACTTTTCCATTTTGTGATATATCTGACCTTGGTAACCTCTAGGCTGTACCTAACCACCTTCTATCATAAGAAGCACATCTCACTTCGCAATGCCTACTTCTATTCCATCTCTGCCATCTCTGGAGCTGTCGGTGGACTCGTTGCCCTCGGTATCGGTGAGCTTGACAACTGGGATGGCGAAAAACAGGGTGCTGGTGGGTGGCGAGCCTGGCGATGGATTCTCACCATCAACGGTATCCCCACCGTCCTGACAGCCGTCTTCATCCCCTGGATCCTGCCAAACACTCCCGCAACTGCCAAGTTCCTGACTGAGGAGGACCGACAGAACCTCTTGGACCTGCGAGCAGCAGAGATTGGTCAAACAACGTCTGGTCAAGAGATGCACAAGGAAGACGTCATCGCCGGAGCCAAGGACTGGACCATTTGGGCCCTCTCTATTGCTCAGTACTGTAGTCACTCTGTCCTGTACAGCTTCAGTGTCTTCTTGCCCACCATCATTAAGCAGATGGGTCAATGGACCGACAAGCAAGTTCAGGGTCTCACAGTCCCTGTGTACGCCGTGGGCTTCATCACCTATCTGATTTGTGCCAACATCAGCGACCGAACCCAACAGCGAGGACTTTTCTGTATCGGAGGAGGTCTGACTATGATTGTCGGCTACATTCTTCTGATTGCCAACCAAAGCACTGCCATGAGTTACGCTGGATGCTTCATTGTCGCTATTGGTCTCTGGACCGGCTCTGGATCTGGCATGGCTTGGATCACTGTCAATCAGCCGCGATATGGCAAGCGTGCCTTCGCTAGTGGTATCTTCATCACCATTGGAAACTCAGCTGGTGTTGCCGCCCCTTTCCTGTTCAGCAACGAATACGAGCCCCATTATCGCCCCGGCTACGGTGCCTCCATTGGCATGCTTGCCCTGGCTGTCTGCATCCACACTGCTGTTTACCTCCACTTCAAGCGTCTTAATAAGAGAAAGCTTTCTGGTCAAGAGGACTGGCGCATGGAGGGCAAGACTGAGGAGGAGATTGCTGAGCTCGGCGAGCACAACCCGCGATACCTATATACTCTCTAGAGACTTCGATCTGCTTTCTCTCTTGGAACCAACTTGACGAGAACTGAGTTAACATTTTTCATATTGTGGATAAGATTTCTTGGATAAAATCTAGATAGATATTCAATCTAAATTGAAAAGTTTTGTCCAACCTCTAGCTCCCATGCTCTCCGGTTTCACCGCATTGTATGCAATACATATTGCCGTCGAATGATTGTCTTTGAAACTAATGCTTATGTATTCAGACGAAGAGGCAAGCTTATAGTTCTCTGGAGAAAGTCTAGGTGAGAATTTTAACTTTGTGCCAGTTCATCCGACCAATCTCGTACATACTCATCCAAAGACTTGACCAAGATTGAGAACTAGCAAATAAGCCATTTAGGGTGATATCAATAGTTTTATAGATTGATTGACGTTCCAACGTTGACTCATAGCTACCCTTCAGAGGCAGACTATGATTTTGCGAAAGCGTCCCTTTCTGCCACCATACTTTTTCAACGTCTTAGTCTTGCAATGTGACTACATTCGATATCTGGGTGATTATAAATTATCCTTGCGTGTTAAATTTTGCTCCAGGTTGTATATAACGCCAAGCATTTATCGTCATCTTTTCTAGCATCTAGTAGGTTCTTTTTTGGCAAGGATAAACCCTATGACGCAATGAAGCTTAAGCCATGTCTTGGGAATTTTCTTGGTGGTTGCAATTTACATCAATCGCAAGGCCTGATGCATCGTCATACTTGGAAGATGTCGTGGCTTGAGGTATGATGAAAGCGGCGTAAATAAGCGTGGAAACGATCAAAAGCCAAGACCTGAAGGGGGTTGCGGGGGAATCGCCAACGATTTAAGATTGGGGAAAACTCTGAGTGCGAGATGGAGAAGAGGTCGAATGCGGAGAAAGAAGGCTGGCCTGGATTCAGCATAGTCGCAAGCTATTAATATATTTAAGGATACATCAGCTGATGTCGAAATCTCCTGAAGCTGGGATGATGAGTGGGGAGTTTGATGCTATACTCAAGAGAGCGTAGTATAAGTGCAGATTATCAGACTGAGCTGTCAATTGTGTATCGAGCTGCTTGATTGAACGAGCATGGTCTGGATTTTGAGGCTGATAAAGTTCAATGTCACTTGAAAAGTGATACTTGCTTGCATGACGTTTTATCAGCGGTTAGATAAGAACCAAGAGAAAGTAGAAAGTAAAGCCACGATACAGCCGGGAACGCTGGATCCACGGCAGATGAATGCTACTGCTCGACCACGACAACAGGCCTTTAGAGTATTGGAAAAGTCTCCAAGGCTTTAGCAATGCACACAATGCTAAGGTTAAGGCGGTGTTGCGATTATCTCGAGGCCCTCCTCGGGGAGCAAGAAAACACAAGACCTTAATATAGGGTGCCAGAATAAACCTAGTAAAAGATATCCTATACTTAGTAAAGAAATCGTAAATTTATGTAAAGTTACCTAAGTCTTTTTGTCATTTAGGATCAATATCTTGAATTTTCTTTCCTTCCCTGGGCCCCCCAGTATCAGCCCGCTAAAGCTGTAACTATGTTGTATCGGCTGAGTTTTCAATGCAAGGATACTGCTTTTTGTGACGACTCAAGATCCCTGTTGCAAGGCATGAAGTCCACTGTTCGCCCGCCGCGGGATCCGTCTTTGCCGCACAGCGCAAATGCCGAGGGTGCATAAAACAGAGGCAAGAAGTTGAAGTCGCAAGAATTAATGCTTTGAATGGCTATAATGATCCAGAAGAATTGTTGAGTAATCCTTTCGTGCATGTATGTAGTCATAAACCCGCTCCGGGTGTTTCAATCTTGCCGACCGAGGTAGATTATAAATGTTAAACTTAGCGCGCAGCACCAGCACAAATCAGGCACTACGCCCGCGGATAGGGCTCCAAAGCATGCCAAACTCTGAGCGGACTTGCGGACAATCAAGCCACACTAGGGCCATATTGCATCAACAGCCGTGCGGGGGGGG